TCCTATACATCTTTGATATAATTTTCACTTCATTGTTTATTATCTCTATCTGGAATTTGGAGTCTTTATCTATGTAACCTCTTTCTCTAGTATCTCTTCTAAACATCTCATTTGCCTGATGATACTTTAGCCAGTCATATACATATTCCTTTACTTGCTCGTATGGTTTTAGTTTCCATTTCCCATCTTCTTTAATTACTAGTTGACTATACGTTACCCAATTACTTCTCATATTAATCGTCTTTATGCTCTCTGCTTCCAGAGGCGACAGCCAATGTGGTGTTTTCGGTTCTAGCAGGTTTTTATACCTTTCCCATATTTCAATTAGTGGCCCTCTAAAGATGTGGTTTTCAAACCCCTTATGTACTTTCCTTTTATTCCGCCATAAGTAGGCGTGCCAACCGAATCTATTTTCGAAGCCCTCCAAGTCGAGTAGCTCCTTATTTGCCAGCTTTACCCAGTCTTTTATCCAGCAAAGACATGTAGCTTCATAGTATAGCTTCAAATCTGGCAGGGCAAAACCTCCTCTTTCCTTTATGTCTGTTAATAATTTGAACTGAATTCTAGGTTTTTTGCCCTGCCAGATGTATCTTGAGAGTACTCTTTGCCATTCTTTAAAGATTCGGATTCCCTTAATTATAGGTATGGTTTGAAATAGGAACATCAACCTTGGTAGGACATTCATCTTAATTGTGTTGATTCTTCCCCAGAATGACAATTTCAACCTTCCCCATATTTCCAGGTCCTTTTTTATTCCCTTCCATGTCAGCTCATAATTGTTTTTGAACAAGTCTATGTTTTTAGGTGTTATCCAGATTCCTAAGTATTTGACTTTCTTAGTGACTTCTATCTGTGATTGTTGTTGTATTATTTCTATTACCCTTTGGTCCACGTTTTTACTTAAGATTTTTGTTTTTGTCTTATTTAATTTGAAGCCTGCTATCTCTCCGAACTGGTCAATTTCCTTTAATATATGTTCTATTGCGATTGTTGGCTCTTCTGACATTATTACTACATCATCCGCAAAGGCTTTGGTCTTATACACATTCTGTCCAATTAACACCCCCTTTATATTTCTGTTTTGTCTTATTGAGTCCAGAAGAACTTCTAGCACTGTTATAAATAATAACAGGGAGAGTGGGCAACCCTGCCTTGTTCCTTTTTTAATCTTTATCTCTTCTGTCACTATGTTGTTTATTATCAGTTTGGCTTTCTGCTCGGTATATATTGCTCTAACCCCGTTGAGGAAATCGTTTCCCACTTCCATATATTCCAAGTTTTTCAGCATGAAGTCCCAAGCCACATTATCGAAAGCCTTCTCGGCATCCACAAACATCATTATAACTTGTTTATCAATCCTCACCGATAAATATTCTAACATGTTAATTATATTTCTTGTATTATCTCTTATCTGCCGACCTGGTAGAAATCCCCCCTGGTCGTTATGAATAATTTCTGATAACAATTTCTTTAACCTCCTCGCAAGGATTCCTGCAAATATTTTATTATCTGTGTATAATAGTGAAATTGGTCTGTAATTTTTGACTTGGGTTGTGTCTGCTTCTTGTTTTGGGATGAGTGTTCTGGACTTAGAAGGTTTTAATAATGTATTTGGGTGGCATGCATATTTGTGGTATGATAAGGTCAAAGCACATAAAGCGTTTAAAAACCATATTGTTAGGAAAGCACTGTTTAATGTCTGGATAAGATATAAGGACTTGCCTGAAAACAAAACTCCAAGGTGGCTGTCACCAATGGAAGCGAAGGCTCAGAAAAAGCTCAATATGGAGGCCAAATGACCGAAATATTGGGAAATTTTGGAACAAGAGGGAGATAGATTAAAACTGCAGAGTTTTGAAAAACTAAAAAACAAAGTGCGAGATTGGCTTCATTATTACCAAATAATGGAGGCTTACAATTTGGACAAGAAAATTAGCTTCCAGGTGGAAAAATCAAAATTGGAAACAGAACTGTTAGATCCCAAAATTAAGAACTTGTCAAGAATGTATAACTTGCTGTTGAAATGGAACACTCAGGATGAAACGGTGAAATCTGCTATGATTAAATGGGCACAAGATGTTGGACACAACATTATGATGGCTGACTGGGAACAGTTATGGACCACAGGTATGAAATTTACGGCATGTAATGCCTTAAGAGAGACCTTTGTTGGCAAGGTGATGTCTCTACTTCTCAAGATGCTGTCTAGGCCTGTCATTGCCCTTCTCCCAAGAAGCAGGCGTCTTTTAATTTCGTGGCTGCTGTCACCATCTGCAGTGATCATTGAGCCCAAGAAAGTAAAATCTCTCACTACCTCCATTTCTTCCCCTTCTATTTGCCAGGAGGTGATGGGACCAGTGGCCATGATCTTCGTTTTTTTGATGTTGAGCTTCAGACCATATTTTGCGCTCTCCTCTTTCACCCTCATTAAAAGGTTCTTTAATTCCTCCTCACTTTCTGCCATCAAGGTTGTGTCATCTGCATATCTGAGGTTGTTGATATTACTTCCGGCAATCTTAATTCCGGCTAGAGATTCATCCAGCCCAGCCTTTCGCATGATGAATTCTGCATATAAGTTAAATAAGCAGGGAGACAAAATACAGCCTTGTCGTACTCCTTTCCCAATTTTGGACCAATCAGTTGTTCCATATCCAGTTCTAACTGTAGCTTCTTGTCCCACATAGAGATTTCTCAGGAGACAGATGAGGTGATCTGGCACTCCCATTTCTTTAAGAACTTGCCATAGTTTGCCGTGGTCGACACAGTCAAAGGCTTTTGCATAGTCAATGAAGCAGAAGTAGATGTCTTTCTGGAACTCTCTAGCTTTCTCCATAATCCAGCGCATGTTTGCAATTTGGTCTCTGGTTCCTCTGCCTCTTCTAAATCCAGCTTGCACTTCTGGGAGTTCTCGGTCCACACACTGCTTGAGCCTTCCTTGTAGAATTTTAAGCATAACCTTGCTAGCGTGTGAAATGAGTGCAATTGTGCGGTAGTTGGAGCATTCTTTGGCACTGCCCTTCTTTGGGATTGGGATGTAGACTGATCTTCTCCAATCTTCTGGCCACTGCTGAATTTTCCAAACTTGCTGGCATATTGAGTGTAGCACCTTAACAGCATCATCTTTTAAAATTTTAAATAGTTCAGCTGGAATACCATCACTTCCACTGGCCTTGTTATTTGCAGTGCTTTCTAAGGCCCATTTGACTTCACTTTCCAGGATGTCTGGCTCAAGGTCAGCAACCACACTACCTGGGCTATACGGGACATCCATTTATTTCTGGTATAATTCCTCTGTGTATTCTTGCCACCTCTTCTTGATGTCTTCTGCTTCTGTTAGGTCCTTTCCACTTTTGTCCTTTATTATGGAAATGTTTGTACGAAATGTTCCTTTCATATCTCCAATTTTCTTGAACAGATCTCTGGTTCTTCCCATTCTATTGCTTTCCTCTATTTCTTTGCATTGCTCGTTTAAGAAGGTCTTCTTGTCTCTCCTTGCTATTCTTTGGAAATCTGCATTCAATTTCCTGTATCTTTCACCATCTCCCTCGCATTTTGCTTGCCTTCTCTCCCCTGCTATTTGTAAGGCCTCATTGAACAGCCACTTTGCTTTCTTGCATTTCCTTTTCATTGGGATGGTTTTCGTTGCTGCCTCCTGTATAATGTTATGAGCCTCCATTCATAGTTTTTCAGGCACTCTGTCCACCAGATCTAAATCCTTAAACCTGTTCCTCACTTCTACTATGTATTCATAAGGGATTTGACTTAGATTGTATCTTACCGGACCAGTGGTTTTTCCTACTTTCTTCAGTTTAAGCTTGAATTTTGCTATAAGAAGCTGTTGATCTGAGCCACAGTCAGCTCCAGGTCTTGTTTTTGCTGACTGTATAGAACTTCTCCATCTTTGGCTGCAGAGAATATAATCAATCTGATTTCGATGCTGCCCATCTGGTGATGTCCATGTGTAGAGTCGTCTCTTGTGTTGTTGGAAAAGCGTGTTTGTGATGACCAGCTTGTTCTCTTGACAGAACTCTATTAGCCTTTGCCCTGCTTCGTTTTGATCTCCAAGGCCAAACTTGCCAGTTGTTCCTTTTATCTCTTGACTCCCTACTTTAGCATTCCAATCCCCTATGATGAGAAGAACATCCTTCTTTGGTGTCACTTCTATAAGGTGTTGTAAGTCTTCATAGAATTGGTCAATTTCAGTTTCTTCAGCACCAGTAGTTGGTGCATAAACTTGGATTACTGTGATGTTAAAAGGTCTGCCTTGGATTCGTATCGAGATCATTCTATTATTTTTGATACAGTACAGCCTTCGCCACTCTTTTGTTGACTATGAGGGCCACTCCATTTCTTTTACGGGTTTCTTGCCCACAGTAGTAGATATGATGGTCATCCGAACTGAATTCACCCATTCCTGTCCATTTTAGTTCACTGATGCCCAGGATGTCAATATTTATTCTTGCCATCTCACTTTTGACCACCTCCAACTTACCCAGATTCATGGTTCTTACATTCCAGGTTCCTATGCAATATTTTTCTTTACAGCATTGGACTTTCCTTTCGCTTCCAGGCATATCCTGGAAGAATGTAAAATTACAGTATATTAAGATAAATTATTAGGATAAAAACAAAGATGGAAAGGATTTGCTGAAATATCTAACTCAACTAGAATACAAAAAAGGGAGGTGCGAGGAGGTCAAGGAAACAAGCAAATGAAAGATAAGTAATGGGAAGGTTTGATTTGTTTTTTTTCTTTTTTCTTTTGTTTGTTTTTTTCTTTTTTCTTCTGTTTGTTTTTACTTGTTGTGATGTATTGTCTTGTTTTTTGCTTAATTTGGTGTTTTCTCTTTTTTCCTTTTGTAACCTTTAAAACTTTAATAAATATTATTTTTAAAAAAATAGTTGGTGTATTCTAAGTGCTCTACTGCAGCTGAGGTTGGTGTCTTATAAGGTGTCGATATGGACTGAAGCTTTCCACATTCTTTCCACATTCAGTACATTTAAATGGTTTCTCCTGTGTGAGTTCGTTGGTGTCTTCTAAGTGTTCCATTTTGACTGAAGCTCTTTCCACATTCAATACATTTAAATGGTGTCTCCCCCGTGTGAGTTCGTTGATGTCTTCTAAGGCTTTCAGTTAGACTGAAGCACTTTCCACATTCAATACATTTAAATGGTTTCTCCCCCGTGTGAGTTAGTTGGTGTCTTCTAAGTGCTCCACTTTCACCGAAGCTCTTTCCACATTCAATACATTTAAATGGTTTCTCCCCAATGTGAGTTCGTTGGTGCATTCTAAGTGTTTCATATCGACTGAAGATCTTTCCACATTCAATACATTTAAATGGTTTCTCCCCTGTGTGAGTTAGTTGGTGTATTCTAAGTGCTCCGTTTTGACTGAAGCACTTTCCACATTCAATACATTCAAATGGTTTCTCCCCCGTGTGAGTTTGTAGGTGTCTTCTAAGTGTTCCACTTTCACCGAAGCTCTTTCCACATTCAATACATTCAAATGGTTTCTCCCCCGTGTGAGTTTTTTGGTGTTTTCTAAGTGTTCCACTTTCACTGAAGCTCTTTCCACATTCAATACATTTAAATGGTTTCTCCCCTGTGTGAGTTCGTTGGTGTATTCTAAGTGCTTCATATCGACTGAAGATCTTTCCACATTCAATACACTGAAATGGTTTCTCCCCCGTGTGAGTTTTTTGGTGTCTTCTAAGTGCTCCACTTTCACTGAAACTCTTTCCACATTCAATACATTTAAATGGTTTATTCCCTGTGTGAGTTCGTTGGTGTATTCTAAGTGCTCCGTTTAGACTGAAGCACTTTCCACATTCAATACATTCAAATGGTTTCTCCCCCGTGTGAGTTTTTTGGTGTTTTCTAAGTGTTCCACTTTCACTGAAGCACTTTCCACATTCAATACATGCAAATGGTTTCTCCCCTGTGTGAGTTCGTTGGTGTATTCTAAGTGCTCCGTTTTGACTGAAGCTCTTTCCACATTCAATACATTGAAATGGTTTCTCCCCTGTGTGAGTTTGTTGGTGTCTTCTAAGTGCTCCACTTTTAATGAAGCTCTTTCCACATTCAATACATTCAAATGGTTTCTCCCCCGTGTGAGTTTTTTGGTGTTTTCTAAGGTTTCCACTTACACTGAAGCTCTTTCCACATTCAATACATTGAAATGGTTTCTCCCCTGTGTGAGTTCGTTGGTGTATTCTAAGTGCTCCGTTTTTACTGAAGCTCTTTCCACATTCAATACATGCAAATGGTTTCTCCCCTGTATGAGTTTGTTGGTGTCTTCTCAGTCTTCCACTGTGACTAAAGCACATCCCACACTCCAGGCATTTAAACTGTTTCTTTGTTCTTCCCAATGATTTCACAGATGACTCCATAGAATTCTGGCCATCATCTTCCTCACCTGTTTGGGAGTGGGGGGGGGGGGAGAGAATCCTGTTAAGACTTTCAAGAAAGAAAAGAAAGGAACTAAAAAACACGTTAATCCCAATATGCACTGTCTCTTATTTTAACAGTCTCCATTCTCCACTGTCCTCTCTTACGTTCCAAACTTCTAGGAATGTAGATGTGATAATGGCAAGAATGAGACATGATCACTCCATTCACTTAATAAAATGCATTTATGTTATAATTTATGGTGGAACTGGCTTCTTAGACACATCTCTGTACAGTGGTACCTCGGGTTAAGTACTTAATTCGTTCTGGAGGTCCGTACTTAACCTGAAACTGTTCTTATGCTGAAGCAGCATTTTAGCTAATGGGGCCTTCACCGCCGGAGCACGATTTCTGTTCTCATCCTGAAGCAAAGTTCTTAACCTGAAGCACTATTTCTGGGTGAGCAGAGTCTGTAACCTGAAGCATATGTAACCTGAAGCGTATGTAACCCGAGGTACCACAGTATTTCTCTTTTTCCAGGGAGGAAATGATCACAGGCTTGAATAGCAGTCTCTCCTATGACTAAGAAGTAAAACTTTTGTGTTACCTATGCCACATGTAACTGTAAAAATATTGCAATATATTAGAACAGGCATCCCCAAACTTGGCCCTCCAGATGTTTTGGGACTACAATTCCCATCATCCCTGACCACTGATCCTGTTAGCTAGGGACATTGGGAGTTGTAGTCCCAAAACATCTGGAGGGCCAAGTTTGGGGATGCCTGTATTAGAACATAAGAAGAGCCTGTTCGATTGAGCAAAGGCCCCCCTAGTCCAGCATCCTGTTCTCACAGTGGTCAACTAAATGCCTGCAGTAAACCAGCAAGCAGGATTTGAGTACAAGAGCCCCCTGCCTTCCTGTGCTTTCAGTCTAATCCTCTTTTTCAAGCTATCCAAGTTGTTGGCCATCACTCCTGTAGGATGGAAGTCCATAGAAATCCATTTAGACTATTGCTCATATCTTGGGCAATAGAATAAAAGGTGTTTTAGCAGAAAAAATTCATCACAAGCAGGCCTGCTTTCTACCAGGACGTCAGATGAAGGAGAATATAAGGAATATAATTGATATTATTGAATATTTGAAAGTAAGAAATGAAAAAAAAGTGGCCTTAATGTTTATAGGTGCTGAAAAGGCCTTTGATAATGTTTCATGGGCTTTTATGAAAAATATAAAAGAAAAAATGAATTATGGGGAAGCAATTTATTTTTACCAACAGTCTATGCTGATTGTTAATAAGGTTATAACAGAAAAGTGTAAAATAATGAAGGGGACAAGACAAGGATACCCTATCACCATTATTATTTATTTTGGTATTAGAGGCCCTGGCGAGAGAGAAAAAGTGGAGAAATTAATTACAGGAATAACAGTAGAAAATAAAGCATATAAATTAAAAGCTTTTACAGTAATTGTAATTATAGTGGATCCCAAAAATACCGTATTTTTCTCTCTATTACACGCAGATTGTTTCTCCTAAAAAGTAAGGGGAAATGTCTGTGCGTGTTATGGAGCGAATGTGGGGGGTCCCTGGAGCCGATTAGGGGAGCGCAGGAACAAAAATCAGCAAAAATCAATCGTGCGTTGTGTCGGAGAGGGAAACCTGAAAAGAGGAAGTGGTTGCTTTCCTGCATTCTGCCTCAGAGTCTTACTGCCCACCCTCCTCTGTTTCGTTGCTGTGTTTGCTCAAACAGAACAAAGAGCAGGGAAAGCCCCTCCCCTCCAGGCAAGCAGAGGGGAAAGCAGAGGTCTTTCCTTCTAATTCCTCTCCGTGCTCCTCGTGCTCCTCGCAGGCAGCCAGAAAACATGCAGGAGGAGAGAGAAAGCTGGCTTCGGTTTGTGGAAACTTTTGCCTTCCTTTCCTTCCTCCCGTAAAATCCCTCTCCTGCTTTCTTAGCCAGCTGATTCTCTGCACACCGCTCTCTTGTCCCTTCTGTGTTTTTCCTTCACTCCCCACTTAAAATGTAGTTACAAAGCATGGATCCACATGGATCCTCAGGATCTTTGCATTGGGCCACCCCAAATTCACCATCAGATCACATAGCAGCCTGCCCCCCTAAAATCACATACCCACTGTTGCCTGGGGCTGCAATGGTGCAAAAACGTGGTTAAAAAGCATGGATCCACATGGATCCTCAGGATCTTTGCATTGGGCCACCCCAAATTCACCATCAGATCACATAGCAGCCTGCCCCCCTAAAATCACATACCCACTGTTGCCTGGGGCTGCAATGGTGCAAAAATGTGGTTAAAAAGCATGGATCCACATGGATCCTCAGGATCTTTGCATTGGGCCACCCCAAATTCACCATCAGATCACATAGCAGCCTGCCCCCCAAAAATCACACACCCACTGTTGCCTGGGGCTGCAATGGTGCAAAAATGTGGTTAAAAAGCATGGATCCACATGGATCCTCAGGATCTTTGCATTGGGCCACCCCAAATTCACCATCAGATCACATAGCAGCCTGCCCCCCTAAAATCACACACCCACTGTTGCCTGGGGCTGCAATGGTGCAAAAATGTGGTTAAAAAGCATGGATCCACATGGATCCTCAGGATCTTTGCATTGGGCCACCCCAAATTCACCATCAGATCACATAGCAGCCTGCCCCCCCAAAATCACACACCCACTGTTGCCTGGGGCTGCAATGGTGCAAAAACGTGGTTAAAAAGCATGGATCCACATGGATCCTCAGGATCTTTGCATTGAGCTACCCCAAATTCACCATCAGATCACATGTCTGTGGCCACAGCATGAAGCACAAAAATGATACATCCACTGTTTCATTCAGAATTTTTTTCCTTGTTTTCCTCCTCTAAAAACGATGTGCGTGTTATGGTCAGGTGCGTGTTATAGAGCGAAAAATACGGTACTCCACCGAAGGTGGTAGAAAAGATACAGGACTTCGGGCAGGCCGGAGGCTTTAAACTAAACAAGAATAAGACTAAGTTTTTGGTAAAAAACACAATGGAGGAAGATCAAAAGGAATTACAACAGAAAACAGAGTTAGTTATACATAACAAAGTCAAATACTGAGGTATTTGTTTGACAGCTAAGAATATTAATATTTTTAAAGACAATTACAAGAATGAGTGGAAAGAAATAAAAAGAGCTTTAGAGATATGGGGAAGAATGAATTTATCATTTTGGGGAAGAATATCAGTAATAAAAATGAATGTATTGCCAAAAATGTTATTTTTATTCCAATCAGTCCTGGCAATAGGCAACGCAGGATGCTTTGAAAAATGGCAAGAAGATATATCTAGGTTTATCTGACAAGGGACGAAATCAAGTATAAAAAATAAATTATTAACAGATGTAAGAGAGAGAGAGAGGAGGTTTCGCCCTGCCGGATTTGAAACTTGTCAGGGAACTGCCATTGGAGCTAGAGGCGGAGGCAAGGCTCCCAAGCGATGCTGGAGAAGGGCCCAGCAGGGAGAGAGGCAGCTCATCGGCTGGGGAAGGAAATCAGCGTAACACCAGGGATAAAGGGGGCAGATGGGGGAATCGGCGAGGGGGCTCCAGGACTCCTCGCCAGAGACCAGCGGGGAGAGAACAGGTCCTCCGCTGCCCACACCCACCCTGCGCAGAAGACTTCCGTGCAGGGAGAGTAGGCGGAGACTTGGCGTCAAAGAACTTCTTTGCTGGAAGAGGTTCAAGAAACGCCCATTGACGGATTCTGCTAGCGACTGAAACAGCCACGAAGTGAAGGGCTGTCCAGACAGAAAAGGTTTAACCAGGCAACCTAGCCAGGAGTGGCGGCAACTTACGCACGAGCAACCCCTATAACCATTACAAAACTTTATTATGAAGCATCCTGTATCTGCTAGAACCGGGAATGGAAAACACAGATACTGTATTTTAGATCTGGACGAACACAAATAATGGATAGCATGCATATTTATGGTAGGAAAAGGCCAAGGTGTTTAGAGCTTTTAAGAATCATATAGTAAGAAAACCAATTTGTAGGGTATGGGAGAAGTATAAAAATTTGCTTGAGTAAAAAACACCCTGGTGGCTTTCCCCCTTGGAAGTAATATCTCGGAAAAAAATTGAATATGAGAAGTTATCAGCCGACTTATAGAGAGCTGTTAACTGAAGTTGAAAACCAACTGAAATTAAAAGATTTTGAAGAGATAAGGGAAGCTTTAACTGACTGGTTACAGTACTATCAACTAAACGATATCTTTAAGATAGACAAAAAGAAAGGTTTTAGTTAAGAGACATCACATTTCAAAAAGAACTCTTAGGAAGTAACATAAAAAGATCTGTCTAAAATGTGTAATTTGCTCCTAGAACGGTATATAAAGGATGAACAGGTCAAATCAGTTATGACGAAATGGGAAAGGGACTTAGGACATAACATACAAATGGCAGATTGGGAGAGGCTTTGGAAAACAGATCTGAAATTCACAGCTTGCTGTACATTGAAAGAAAACTACATGAAAATGATATACTGGTGGTATTTGACTCCTAGTAAGTTATCTAAAATGTATAAAGTTCAAATATCTGAGGGAAGTGTAAAGAGGAAGTGGGTACCGTTTGCTATATGTGGTGGTCATGTAAGATAACAGTATCATTTTGGGAAATGGTATATAATGAAAAAGTAGAGACATCACCTTGCCAACAAAGGTCCATACAGTAAAAGCTATGGTTTTCTCAGTAGTGATGTATGGAAGTGAAAGCTGGACCATAAAGAAAGCTGATCGCCGAAGAATTGATGCCTTTAAATTATGGTGCTGGAGGAGACTCTTGAGAGTCCCATGGACTGAAAGAAGATCAAACCTATCCATTCTTAAGGAAATCAGCCCTGAGTGCTCACTGGAAGGACAGATCCTGAAGCTGAGGCTCCAATACTTTGGCCACCTCATGAGAAGAGAAGACTCCCTGGAAAAGACCCTAATGTTGGGAAAGATGGGGGCCCAAGGAGAAGGGGACGACAGAGGACGAGATGGTTGGATAGTGTTCACGAAACTACCAGCATGGGTTTGACAAAACTGCGGGAAGCAGTGGAAGACAGAAGTGCCTGGCGTGCTCTGGTCCATGGGGTCATGAAAAGTTGGACACGACTAAACGGCTAAACAACAACAACAAATATAATGAATTGGGAAAAAATGTTTAAAATAATGTTTGTTAAGAATGTAGAAGCATATTTATTTGGAATTACAGGTACTGAGATCGCAAAAGACCAGGAAAGACTATGTATGCGACAACAGCTGCACAGATGTTATTATCCCAACGATGGAAAGATGCAATAATCCCAACTAGGGAAGAATGGCAAGCCAAACTGCTGGACTCTGCCGAAATGGCAAAATTAGCCGCGAGACTCGGGAATCAAGAAAACAAGGACTTTAAAAAAGAATGGGGAAATTTTATAATTTACCTATGAGATTACTGCACGCAAATCAAAAATTTAGCTGGACTTTAGGAATCACTTGTAAATAGGTTTATGCACAATTTAGATAAATGAAAACTGTGGAGAATGTATCTATACACTAGTATATTGTGTTACATAACCCTCTGGTATTTTTCCGGGTTTTGTTGCTCGCATGCGTAGAAACACTCTATTGCGCCGTGTGCGTGTACAGAAGCGGTCCTCCGGTTTGCAAAAAATTCGGGCTCTGTCTGGGGCTCCTTACCGGATCCCGTTTGCAAACGGAGGTACCACTGTATGTAGTTTTGAAAAAATTAATATAAGGACCCATGAAAGGGATGGAGCGAAGTCATGTGATTCAGAGAATCTCATGAAATGATTAGAAAAATGTCTTTGATATAAACTTGTATTTGTAAAAAACAATAAAAATATTTCAAAAAAAGAGGGAAGTCCATAGATTGACTATGCTTCTGTTGATTCATCATTTGCAAACCCAGAAGTAGGTGCTCCTGTTTTTGAAGTTTGCCTCGGAAACCGAACGTGCTCCTGAGCTTCCATTTGTACTGTTGCGCAGTAACTTTAGGTGCCCCCCATCCTATTTAAGGCTTTTTTTCATTCCGTTTTACCCTTGAGCAGCTAATTTAAGTTGTCTCCATCGTAATCAAGGCCATTTGTTCCCTTGCACAGCTAATTTAAGCTCCTCCGCCCCCATCAATATTCAAGCCATTCCTGGCTGCAGTGTTCTGAGGTGACATTTGCTGCTTTAGTTTTTTCCTATTTTTTGTGTTTTTGTGGCTTTTTCATTTTTGACTGAGGCTTGTTTTTGTTTTATGATTGATTTATAGATTGACTGTGGAAAGGCATAAAAGCCCCCCATTTAATCAATGACTATAATCAGTGCAGGTACAAAAAAAATTAATTTTAATTTTTTTCATCTACAATGCCGTCTTATTTATTTTATGGTACAGAACATTGATTATTGCTTTCTTTTTATGGATCAATGGTCTTTTTAGATAGTAAAATTCATGTTACATTGCTGTTTTAGGGGTTGTTTTTAAAAGTCTGGAATGGATTAATGCATTACTTTCTATGGGAAAACATGCCTTGGTTTAGGAACGCTTTGGTTTTGGAAGACTTCCGGAACAATTAAGTTTGAGTCCCGAGGTACCACTGTAACTCCTAAGATTTAAAATCCTGGAGGAAGAAAGTCTGCCCCCACTACTTTATGAAAGGGATTCAAGAAACAAAGAGCTGCTTTGGAGAAGGCCTCACCCCTTCCTTCTTCCTGTCAGGAACTTCCTTCCATTTGTCTCCTCTCCATCTTTTCCTCTTTCTCCCACCACCTTCCATCTATCCCTCTCCCCATCTCCTCTCTCCCCTGGAACTCACCAGATTTCTCCAAGGGTCCTGGGAGGGAATGCTCAGAGGTTGTGGGGAGGGATGCGGGAGAGGGCCTGACCAGGTCACCCGTCCATCTTCCTCCTTCCATCCTGGCCAGGGTTGCAGGTTCAGTCTCAGCTAGGTTTGCAGGTTCAGCTTCCTGAGGAGCGCAGAAGCCAGAGCAAGTTGCAGCTTCCTGGGAGGGAGGGAAGAAGAAGCCAAGGGAGTCTGAGAGGCCCTGCCGGGATTCTCCTGCCCAAGACATTCTGCTGCCCCTGGAGAAACCCCAACTGGATACCCCCTTCCCAAGATCCTCCACCCATTTTCAAACACCCTTGCAAATTCCTTTCACCTGCCTGTCCCACCTCCCTTCCTAAGGCTGGCATGGTATGCACATTAGTGGCCTGAGAGTAGATCCCTTGGAACTTAAGAGTTCATCTGCAAAGGACTGCTCTGAATACATGGGTGGCCCTTGCATGGAGAAGAAGGAAGCCCCTTGCTTGCATCTGGACCCCCTCGGAGAGGCGGGGGATCCGCCCACTCGTCCCTCTTCCCTCACTGCCTCCTCCTCTGTCCTCCTGCCCTGCAAACACCCTTTGCTCTTGTTGCTCAGGGGAGAGAGGTGGCTTGTGGAAGGAGCCTTCAAACCCATCCGTTTCCTCCTCTGCTCCCCCTCCTGTCCTTTTGGGAAACAGGAGCTTTGGTCAGGAGTAAACAACTTAGACGGCAAGTTCACAAAATAAGCACTTTGGAGCACTGCTCCTTAAAGAGCAGATTCCTTAAAGAGGGCATTTCTTGAAAAATCAAAGGCCAAACTGGAAGACCTCCGATGGCAGCCCTGTACAGTGGTACGTCAGGTTACATACGCTTCAGGTTACCGACTCCGCAAACCCAGAAATAGAGCTTCAGGTTAAGAACTTTACTTCAGGATGAGAACAGAAATCATGCTCCAGCGGCGCGGCAGCAGCAGGAGACCCAGTTAGTTAAAGTGGTGCTTCAGGTTAAGGAGAGTTTCAGGTTAAGTACGGACTAAGTACTTAAGGAATTAAGTACTTAACCTGAGGTACCACTGTACAGGGAAGTTTTTGATGTTTTAATGTTTTTATTTTGTTGGAAGCTGCCCAGAGTGGCTGAGGCAACACAGTCAGATAGACAGGGTGCAAGTAATGAATTAATAATAAAATAATAATAATAATATTCCATCCTAAGCATGTCCTGGTATACATTGCTGGTCAGAGACTCTGTCTCAACCTCTCCCTTGAACACAACAGGGCTTCCTATTTTTACAGCTATTCTTTACATTTCTATACTGCCCTTCCTCCAAAGATCACAGGGCAGCTTACAAGAAAAAAAACCACAGAGATGCATAGCAGAGTAAGAAATAAAAATGACAACCCTCCCGCCGCCCCCCATGCAGTTGTGAAGTCCATAGATTGTTTAATGAGCCAAACGCCTGGGAGAAGAGCAATGCTTTGGCCTGGTGCCTAAAGATAAGGAAGGAAGCCAGGACACTGAGGTCCTCCTACGAGGTTCTTCTGCCAGTTCTCTCACTGCGAGAAGTGAAGTTTCAGGGCAGGCAGAGGGAGTTCTAGGTAATGGCGCCCTCACTTCCAGCGTCAAAGAGATAAAGAACTACAGAACTTTTAGAAGACATATGGAGGCAGCCTTGTATTGGGAAGTTTTTAACATTTGACATTTTATAGATGTTGTTAGCTGCCCAGAGAGGCTGGTGAAACCTAGCCAGATGGTCGGGATATAAATATCAAAATTATTATTGTTATTATTATTATTATTGCAAACCTGGCCAGCAATGCCCACCCCTCTCCCCTCTCCTGCCTCCTTCCCTGCAACTCCCTTTCCACCAGATCCCTGCAGGAGGAAGCTTCTCCCCCCCCCTTCCCCTTCAAGGCCCCCTTTAAGGAAACAGCTCCCTTTCCTCCCTTCTCCCCCTCCCCGTTCAGGGGCTTCTCCTCCTGGACCCCCTCGCAAAGCCCCTTCCCTCCTTCCCCGCCATTGGCTTTGCACTCACCCGAAATCCTGGGCAGCGGGGGCGGGAATGGGAGCCCCCGCGGGGGAGGCAGGGAGTGAGGGCGCTTAATTAGGAGGCTTGATTAGGAAGAAGCCCCCTCCTCCGCCTCCGCACGATGCAGCCCCGATTCCCGCCTCCTCCCCTCCCTCCCTCCTTTCCAAGCCCCAATATTATCTCTGCTGGTGAAGCCGGAAGTGGAGGCAACTCTGAGGGGGAAGGAGAAATTCTCCCCACGTTCAGCCTCATGTCTGTTATTTGATAATTGGGGGAAGGAAAACCTTGTAGCACCCAACCAATGGGAAGGCGAGGGAGGGAACGTGTGCATAGGGAATATAAACTCATTCCTTGCCCCAGCTGGACTGTGCCTGCTTTGGACTCCCGCTTTTGCAAGAACCTATTGTCCTCAATGAACTCTTTACTGCTTCACCAATTTTGTTCAGATGGTATTTTAAGGAACGGCACTGTGGAGAGATACTTAGGATGGATTGTGTTTTGGCTTGTGTTAATTTATTTATATTTCTTGTCAAAGCGATAAACAACTACCTGACATTCAGAAGACATCTGAAGGCAGCCCTGTTCAGGGAAGTTTTTAATATGTGACATTTTAGTGTATTTTTTATCTTTGTTGGAAGCCACCCAGAGTGGCTGGGGGAACCCAGCCAGATGGGCGGGGTACAAATAATAAATTATTATTATTATTATTATTATTATTATTAATTGAATAAAATTTATTTTTAAAAACCTGCAGAGGGGTTTCCCCAAGCAAACAAAAAGAACACCACAGCAGTAAAATCAAGAAAAATTTACAACCCTACTTTAAAACATACAAAAGCTAAAATATTAAAATTACTTCCACTTCCTAAGTATCTGGGTAAGGTAAAGGTAAAGGTAAAGGGACCCCTGACCGTTGTGGGCGACTCTGGGGTTGCTGTGCTCATCTCGCTTTATTGGCTGAGAGAGCCATGTGGCTTCCGGGTCATGTGGCCAGCATGACTAAGCCGCTTCTGGCAAACCAGAGCAGCGCACGGAAACGCCATTTACCTTTCCGCCGGAGCGGTACCTATTTATCTACTTGCACTTTGACCTGCTTTTGAACTGCTAGGTTGGACCTCCGGAACGAATTAAGTACTTAACCCGAGGTACCACTGTATCCCCTCTGGGATGGTGGCGCTAGGGCTCTGGGACCACCCTCCCCAAAATATTTACTTGCCTTCAATGTATTGTTACCACTGTTATTTTATAGTACAGATCATTTTTAAATTAAGCACTTTCTCTAAAATTAAAACGGCAGAAGTAATCAGTAGCATGGATATCAAAGGAAAGGCAAGAGAATGGTCCCTAATAGATACAAGGGAGACACAGGTACACAAGCACACAGAAGTAAATAACCCAAGAGTGGCTTCATTGAGTTGTTAAGTGTTATGTTGTTAAGTGAAGCTAAATCCCCACTGCAGCCTTGACAGAGTAAATGAGGCACATTCATTTTATGTTACACGGATGAGATCATTTTAATGTGGTAATCCCATCCTGAGAATTTCTGCGAAGGTTGGTGAAAAATTTCATTCCCAAAATTACTGCAACATTTTCTTCAGAAGACATTTCCCCTGTATCACTGAAAGTGCACGCAAGCGCATGCGCGCGCACACACACACACACACACACACACATATATATATATATACATACACATCCCCACTTTTTTTGCACAATTTGAATTACTTGAAAGCCATTCTGAGAATCTGTATAAATACTTGGTCATTAGAAATAACATAAAACAAATGCCAACACACCATGAAAACTGTGCACAAAAGCATGGTTTTATAAACTTTGTCACCAGCCTTGGGGAGAGGGGTGGGAATGTAGTTTGCTGTGCTTAGCCTTGTAATGGGAGACTGAAAGGGCTTTAATATTTTTTTTTAAGTCTTATGTCTAGGAATATTTTTTTGCAAAAGCAACAGACTGGTTGTCAAAAGTGTGAACTTCGTTAATTGACCCTATTTAAAGGAATTGGTCAGTTAGCCACAGAATTGCTTTTCTTTTCTTCTTCTTTTAATTACACAACTGCTTTGGGGGGTGGAAGTGTGGTCAAGCACACAGCATCCTGGAACTATGAACCAGCCATCACCAGGATCCTTTGAGTGTCTGTCAGCAAAAGCAATAAATGCAATAATATTAGCAAAGCTTTAAAACCCTGTAGGTGAAAAGCAGGTCCGAGAAAATCACAGAGGGTCACTTGTGTAGATCGGCATGAAGCAAGCCATGTGAGCTAAATATTAACTGTGCATATTGCATTGATCAGATGCATCAATCAAAATAACCTCCCGCCCCCTCCTCCCCGCGCCCTTGCAGGAATCAAGATAATTCAAGGTTACGGCTTCTGTTTTTCCCTGGTTCTGCTCTGCTTCGCAGCAATCATGCATATTCAATATTGAGAAGCTTATGGCGCCCCCCGCCACTCCCAAGCGTACCCCGAGCCTCGGGGGAAGGGGGGAGAGCTGCGCTCGTCCTCTCCCCTGCCTGCCTCCTCCAGCTCAGTGCGGGCGGCGCAGCAAATGTCACCCCCGTCAGGATGACACCCGGGGCAGGCCGAACCCACCACACTCACCTTGGTATGTCTCTGACCCCTGGATGTGCACTCCATTGTCTCTTGAGACATGTGGATATCAAACAAGGGTAGTTTGTATACACGCTCACACACCCCTCTGTATCCAGGCAAGAAAGAGGCCATATCGGAGTTCAAGGCCAAATCCCAGCCAGGCAAGAGCACTCAAGGAGAGCACAAAGCGTGGCCTGAGGAGAGTTCAGGGGGCCAGACGGAGAGACCTGGAGGGCCATATATGTTTCCCTATCCCTGCTCTACATCACCCAGGATGAATAGCGCCTTTGGGGAGAAGTCCATTTGGCTCCATCTCTCCCAAATCCCTTTTTGTGACTTTGGGCAAGTTGTGTGGCTTGGCCGGGTTACAAAGCCTAACAGTGTAGCAAGATTTCAATATATCCTAGTAGGTGCCCATTCTCTCCTCTCTCTCTCCCCATCCTCCTTTGCCTTCCCATGCCTTTTTTAAAAAATGTGGTATTTGGTACAACTCTGCTTTTCTTTGAAAGCAAACGGGGGGGGGGGGCATGCCATTTTCCTGGAAATGGTGCGAGACAGGGAGCTGAAAATCAGATGAATTGTACCTCTCAGGTGTAAATATTTATCAATCAATAAATGAGAATAAAACATATTGGGAACACGGAACTTGCCCGGATTACGAAATTCTGGACAGTATGGTGGTGGAGTTGACCCTTTCAAGCAAGTCTAGATAGATGGGAATAAAACCCCAGAGATCTGACCTCAGCCTTGGCAATTGTTGAAATATCTGCCCATCACCGTTACCAGCTACTGGGGAGCTCGTGGTGGTGTAGTGGTTAGAGTGGTGTCTCTCAAACTTGGGTCTCTGGCTGTTAAAAGGTAAAGGGACCCCTGACTATTAGGTCCAGTCGTGACCGACTCTGGGGTTGTGGCGCTCATCTCGCTTTATTGGCCGAGGGAGCCGGCGAACAGCTTCCGGGTCATGTGGCCAGCATGACTAAGCCGCTTCTGGCGAACCAGAGCAGCGCACGGAAACGCTGTTTACCTTCCTGCCAGAGCGGTACCTATTTATCTACTTGCACTTTGACAAACCTAGACAGCATCTTAAAAAGTAGAGACGTCACCTTGCCAACAAAGGTCCGCATAGTAAAAGCTAAGGTTTTCCCAGTAGTGATGTATGGAAGTGAAAGCTGGACCATAAAGAAGGCTGATCGCCGAAGAATGGATGCTTTTGAATTATGGTGCTGGAGGAGACTCTTGAGAGTCCCATGGATTGCAAGAAGATCAAACCTCTCCATTCTGAAGGAAATCAGCCCTGAGTGCGCACTGGAAGGACAGATTGTGAAGCTGAGGCTCCAATACTTTGGCCACCTCATGAGCAGAGAAGACTCCCTGGAAAAGACCCTGATGTTGGGAAAGATGGAGGGCACAAGGAGAAGGGGGCGACAGAGGATGAGATGGTTGGACAGTGTTCTCGAAGCTACCAGCATGAGTTTGACCAAACTGCAGGAGGCAGTGGAAGATAGGAGTGCCTGGCGTGCTCTGGTCCATGGGGTAACGAAGAGTTGGACACGACTAAACGACTAAACAACAACAAAGAATTCTGACTTTTCTCATAATGAATTGCTTTCTCAGTGGAAACACTTCTTGCCAGTTATTATGATGGACCACTTTAGTTGCATCTTTCCCCCTCCTTTTGCCACCTCTCAGCTTTGGAGAAGTGAAATGTTATCATTTGTCCACATGGTGGTGCTGTTGACTTTATCGGTCAACACAGAGGCTTTGTAAAGAATTATAGCCTGTCCTTGAAAAGCCTCATGATAAAATAAAATAGAAATGTCTTATGATCTTTGGTTGGTTGCTGATGGTTTGAACTTTGGCCTGAATCTTTCTCTCGTCCTCTCATCCTCTTTTGCTTCTGCGGCTGTGAATATTTCTAGAAAGTTTCACGTATTCCCAACTGTCCCTTTCTTCTCATCTTATTTTAAATGGAATGAATCTGATTTTTTTCAATTTCTGCCTTCTTTGCAGGATCTGTTGGGAAGAGCAGTGTCGTCTGCTCCACAGAATGTCTTTGTAATTGGTATGTTAAAAAGCAGATCATTTAATCATTTTTTTAAAAAGACAACTTTTTTTAAAAGAAAAATGTTGCTCATTTAACCAATGAGTGTGAGAAAGACTCTCAAGAACCCTGTGAGGTAGGCTGATAGGCGGTGAGTTGGCCAACATCAAACCACATAGCTGAGTGAGGATTCGGCCTAATTTCACCACCATCCTCTCCATGATTCCAGTTCTCCTTTTCCCACAAGTTTCCTTTTCCTTTGCTGCTCTGATAAGTGTGTTGTGGGTGTCCATGTAACTGTTCCACTTTCCTCTGTCAGGAAAATCCTGTCAGAAACCTGCAGAGCAAATACACACAGGTCCTTTTCCAAATCAAACAGTGAATGCCAGGGCAGCAGAGCTGTGGTGGAGAGACGAGGAATAAGTGAACCTCTTTTTCTTTTTAAACAATGCAAGATGTTTTCTGACAAAGTTTTAATAAAGCAGGTTTGAACATTTGTACACCTTTTCTGTCCTTCCTGGGTGTGTGTGGGGGGGGGGTGAGGAGGGTGTAAGAACAGGAGGAGAGCCTTACTGGACCAGCCAAAGTCTGGGGAACCTGAGGGCCACATTGCCTTATAAGCAAACTTTCAAGGGCCATATGCCAACAGAGGCAAAAGTGGGAGGAGCAACAAATGCTTACCTTTGGACAGTAGACAAGTTTCTGAACACACACCTTTCTGACGTCCATCCAAGGGCATTGCCAGAGTTCAAAGTTATAGTCCAGTTGCAACCATTCCTAACAACGTGTGACGATCGTCTGGGGCAACCCAGTCAGGTAGGTGTCATATAAATAATAACATTATTATTAATAATAATATGTACACAGTAGGAGTTTTTGCCTGCCACTTTTCCACTTGTTGAAATTCTCTGATATCCCTGGCTCTGCTCAGAGTAGACCTGCTGCAATTAACATGCACAGCCAACAGGCTCATTCATTTCAATGTTTATACTCTGTGAAGAGGTAGCATTGAATAACACATTTTTATTATCTTCCTTCATGGATCACTGCCTTGCTGTGGCGAAGGGGCTTGGATAATTCAGAGAAGCTATGAACTATGCCAAGCAGGGCACCCAAGATGGACAGGTCATAGTGGAGAGCTTTGACCAAACGTGATCCACCTGGAGCAGGAACCGGCAAGCCACTCCAGTATCCCTGCCAAGAAAACTCCATGGACAAAGACAACAGGCATATAAAAGTTATGACACTGGAAGATGAACCCCTCAAGTCGGAAGGCGTCCAACATGCTACTGAGGAAGAGCGGAGGACAAGTACAAGTAGATCCAGAGCTGATGAAGCGGCTGGGCCAAAGCCGAAAGGACGCTCAGTTGCGGATATGCCTGGAAGCGAAAGGAAAGTCCAATGCTGTAAAGAAAAATATTGCATAGGAACCTGGAATGTAAGAACCATGAATCTGGGTAAGTTGGAGGTGGTCAAAAATGAGATGGCAATCATAAATATTGAGATCCTGGGCATCAGTGAACTAAAATCGATGGAAATGGGTGAATTCAGTTCAGATGACCATCATATCTACTACTGCGGACAAGAATCCTGGCATAGAAGAAATGGAGTGGCCCTCAAAGTCAACAAAAGAGTGGTGAAAGCTGTACTGGGATGCAATCTCAAAAATGATAGAATGATCTCGATACGAATCCAAGGCAGACCTTTTAACATCACAGGAATCCAGGTTTATGCACCAACTATCGGTGCTGAAGAAACTGAAACTGACCAATCTGACCAACTGTCAAAACTGTCATCTTGAAAGGGTGGTGGCTTTAGGCTTTCTCTGAATGACAGAGAATGTGACAACAAAAGGATGTGATAATGGCTCTTCAAGAGTTGCATAGCCTAAGGCCAATGGAGGCTGAAATAAAGGCTGTCCGGGGGGGGGGGCAGTTTGAACTTTTAGACTTATCTTTTATTTCTAAGATGCTGAGCCTGCACTGGACAGCACCAGATATTGTATGGATACATTTTTGGATGTATCATTTGATGTTTCTGTTTTGTTTTGAAGAGTTCTGCAAGTAAAAGTTTGAAGAAAAAAGAAAAAAGAAATTGACCAATTCTATGAAGACTTACAACACCTTCTAGAAATGACACCAAAGAAGGGTATTCTTCTCATTATATTGGGCTGGAATGCTAAACTAGGGAGTCAAGAGATAAAAGGAACAACTGGCAAGTTTGGCCTTGGAGTTCAGAATGAAGCAGGGCAAAGGCTAATAGAGTTCTGCCAAGAGAACAAGCTGGTCATCACAAACACTCTTTTCCATCAACACAAGTGACGACTCTACACATGGACATCACCAGATGGGCAGCATCGAAATCAGATTGATTATATTCTCTGCAGCCAAAGATGGAGAAGCTCTATACAGTCAGCAAAAACAAGACCTGGAGCTGACTGTGGCTCAGATCATCAGCTTCTTATAGCAAAATTCAAGCTTAAATTGAAGAAAGTAGGAAAAACCACTGGGCCGGTAAGATACAATCTAAATCAAATCCCTTATGAATACACAGTGGAAGTGAGGAACAGGTTTAAGGATTTAGATTTGGTGGACAGAGTGCCTGAAGAACTATGGATGGAGGCTCGTAACATTATACAGGAGGCAGCAATGAAAACCATCCCAATGAAAAGGAAATACAAGAAAGCAAAGTGGCTGTCCAACGAAGCCTTACAAATAGTGGGGGAGAGAAGGCAAGCAAAATGCAAGGGAGTTAGTGAAAGATACAGGAAACTGAATACAGATTTCCAAAGAATAGCAAGGAGAGAAGAGAACCTTCTTAAACGAGCAATGCAAAGAAATAGAGGAAAACAATAGAATGGGGAAAACTAGAGCGCTGTTCAAGAAAATTGGAGATATGAAAAGAACATTTCGTACAAAGATTACCATAATAAAGGACAAAAGTGGTAAGGACCTAACAGAAGCAGAAGACATCAAGAAGAGGTGGCAAGAATACACAGAGGAATTATACCAGAAAGATATGGATGTCTCGTACACCCCAGGTAGTGTGGTTGCTGACCTTGAGCCAGACATCCTGGAGAGTGAAGTCAAATGGGCCTTAGAAAGCACTGCTAATAACAAAGCCAGTGGAAGTGATGATATTCCAGCTGAATTATATAAAATTTTAAAAGATGATGCTGTTAAGGTGCTACACTCAATATGCCAGCAAGTTTGGAAAACTCAGCAGCGGCCAGAGGATTGGAGAAGATCATTCTACATCCCAATCTCAAAGAAGGGCAATACCAATTCATCTCGAGAGAGAACGGAGTGTACCTCCAGGGGTGAAGTCAAACCACTGTGTTATCAGCACCAAAGTGACCTCCCTGGGGCTCAAGCCTGGGCAGCAGGCATGGAGGTCATGGGCTGCCCAGTTGACAAGACCCATCAGCTGCCCTCACCTGGTTAAGCTGGCCAATCGAAGCCATTTCCCGGAGTGTGGCCACTGTTGCATGCTAACAGCTTCTAGGAGCCACAGGTGAGAGAGCTGAGTGCAGGGTGGGGGTCAAAGGTGGGCAAACTACCCCAGAATGATGTGTCTCCCTTAACACCCCATATGCCCCACAAGTATTTTAACAGATAACAGACGTTTTGAGGTCAGTGTGCCGTCCCCAACTCCCACATTAAACCAAGCGTCAGGGTGTGAAAAAGCCACACTCCTGCCTGGCATTTTCTATACTTAGAGCCATGAACCAGAGCGATAAGTGGTGTTTCTGAAGAGATAACCCTCTGTTCCCCTGGCCAAGGGCGATGGCTGGGGGCCCTTGCGAAACTGCCAGGTGCCCAAAATGCCAGAAAGTGTTTGTTTTCTTTGACGAATGGCTGTCTGTGCTGAAGATAACGAATCGCTTCATCGTTTTTATCTGCTTTTTTGTTTGTTTGTTCTGAAAGAGAAATTGTATCATTCATCTGGTCACGATAACTCGAGAACAAATTGGTCAATCTGTACAGTACAAGTTTGGGACCATACAGCACCGAGGAAGAGCTGATTAGATTGAGTTGATATGGCAGGAAAGATAAGAAGGGAAGTCCAGGAGAGTGTGGGTAGCGGGCAGATCAGCTGGTAAAGCCCGAGACTCTCAATCTCAGGGTTGTCAGTTTGAGCCCCATGTTGGGCAAAGGATTCTTGCATTGCAGGGGGTTGGACTAGATGGTCCTTGTTATGTACTGAAGTTCTCACCCTGGGCCAGCAGGGGGATACTGTAGATAGTTATGCAAATGAAGGATCGAAGGTGACGTTCAGTGATTGGATAGTTTGTATGCAAATGAAGGATCGAAAGTGACGTTCAGTGATTGGATAGTTTTAGAAAGTTGTTACAGTAACAAGGTACTGGAGCTCTATATAAGCAGGCTGACTGAGGCCTTCAGTTCAGTTCTGTTCCAGCTTACAAATAAAGAGCTGCTTTGGAGAAATCGCTGTGTCGTCTGCTATGTCAACCCACAACTTAACAGTCTTCGTGGTCCCTTCTACAATTCTGTGATGGTGCACAATCTGGAGTGGCACTTGTTAGGAGCAAGCATAGGAAGCAGCCTTATATGGAGTCGGACCCTGGGCCCACCTAGTTCACTGACTGGCATCAGATCTCCAGGATTTCAGACGGGGAGTCCAACCCTGCCTGGAGATGCTGATGGTTGAAAATGAGACCTTCTGCCTGCAAAGCAGCTGCTCTGCTGCTGAGCGATGTCCTTTCTCCAGGATTTACAACCCCGGTGCAAAGCTTTGAGGTCATTCTCCACCTCCAGTTGTTGTTGTTGCTGCTGTTTTATTTTATTTTGAATTTCAATACCAGGTCTCAGGGCAGTTCACAGAATAAAATCAAGATATAAAACCACAAAATACATAATCAAAATAAATACAGCAACCCAATGTTGTTGTTGTTTAGTTGTTTAGTCGTGTCCGACTCTTCCTGACCCCATGGACCAGAGCACGCCAGGCACTCCTGTCTTCCACTGCCTCCCACAGTTTGGTCAAACTCATGCTGGTAGGATGCAGGAGAGCAAGATTAGAAATGTAATAAGTAAATTTTGTTGTTTAGTCGTGTCCGACTCTTTGTGACCACATGGACCAGAGCACGCCAGGGACTCCTGTCTTCCACTGCCTCCCGCAGTTTGGTCAAACTCAAACTCAAGCTTCAAGAACACTGTCCAACCATCTCGTCCTCCGTCGTCCCCTTCTCCTTGTGCCCTCCATCTTTTCCAACATCAGGGTCTTTTCCAGGGAGTCTTCTCTTCTCATGAGGTGGCCAATACCCCAGCAACCCAATACCCCCCCCCCACAAAAAACACACAACACATTTTAAAAGGGCATAGGATAGAAATCGGATCAACCAAAGGCCTGGTTAAAAAGGAATGTTTTTGCCTGGCACCTAAAGGTGTATAATGAAGGCGCCAGGTGAACTTCCCTGGGGAGAGCATTCCACAGATGGGGAGCCACTGCAGAGAAGGCCCTGTTCTCGTGCTGCCACCCTCCGGACCTCTGAAGGAGGAGGCACATGAAGGAGGGCCTCAGAAGATGATCTCAGGGTCTGGTAGGTTCATATGGAGAGAGGTGGTCCTTGAGGTACGGCGGTCCTGAGCCGTTTAAGGCTTTATAGGTCAAAACCAGCACTTTGAATTCGGTTTTATTTTGTCAAGCTACGAAATGCTTTTAAACAACCCACAACCAAAAAAACAACCCCACCCCCATTTCTCTTTTAGAAAGCCACAAAAAATATTCCTGCAGGGAAAACACAGTTACGATTCCCTGCGCACAGGACCAAAATTATGTACGTCACAACTCCCACTAAGTTACACAACCGCTCTCCTTGACTGCGTTTTCTCCTTGGCTGAAAACTGTGCCACCCATGGACAGCAGAAGTTTCTCCTTGGTGGGTTTGAAGCCTGGGGGTGGAGAGTGTTGTTCTGGGAGGTGCTTGGCTTTGGTCTCCCCGCCTGCCCCACCTCCAACCATGAATGTTCCTGGCTATATATGCACCAGGATGGGGGCCCCTGCACCCATTTAAAAATGCTAACTGCTGCGCTCCTTGTTCTCCTCCTGCTGGTTCTAGCCTTGTTGACAAAGCGGCATGGGGGGTTCAGCTTTCCGAAGAACTTGGGGAGGCTGCCCGGGCCTCGGGCCTTGCCCTTCGTTGGCAATCTCCTCCACCTGTTCCATCCTGACCTTCCCATCCACTTCCATGACTTGGCTCGGCAATATGGCTCCATCTTCCGCCTTCGCCTTGGCAGCAAAGGTAAACCAGAGCAAAAACTTCATCACTAAGGCATTGGATAGCTTAGTCACAATTTTACATTGTTTTGCCATTTTATTGTCTTAGGACTCAGCCACGTTTGTTTGTCCCCTGAGTCTGAGAGGTTTTTCTTTCGTCCCAGGGGAAAAACACCCACCCACCCCGCTGTTTACTGCTGAATCAGAAGAAACTTCGGTTGGGTTTTCTGCAAATTGGCTTTTGTTCCGATTCAGCGGTAAACAGTGGGTTTTCTCAGGGAAAGTGGTGAGACAACTGACAAATCTCTCAGACCTCTGCCTATCAATCACAGGACAAACGGAAGTGTGAATGGTTCTTACTGTAGTTTGGGGTGGGTTTTTTTGGTGTGTGGGGGGTATTCTTGTGTGCATTTTCATTTTTAGAAGAGGACTCCCCTCCCTGCTTCAATGGTTGCTAGTTCTCTCTTTATAAAATTTACCAGCTAAAATGTTTATTTGTACACGCAAATGAAGATTTTGCGCATAAAAGGACATTACGATTGCCTAAAATAGCAGTTTTAAAAATATATGTGTGTATAATCGTTTGTCTGTTAGTATTTCAGTTATTGCCTTGCTTCTGCGTTTTAACTTTTTAGAATATCACATTTGTTTGCCCACTTTTATGGTTGTCAATTCTCTCTTTATAAAATTTACTAGGAAAAGTGTATATTTATATGCACAAATGAAGATCTTGTGCACAAAAGGATATTGCAATGATTCAAAATAGTAATTCTTTTTTTAAAAAAAAATGCAATAATTTTTTTGTTAGTATTTGGTTATTTTCTTGCATCTGCATTTTAACTTTTTAGAAGATCATGTTTCTTTTTCTACTCGCCACTGTTGCCTTTGATATTTTTTTTAATAGCCAATACATTTATACATGGTCATAAATGACAAAATTACACACAAAGGTTATTACGATAATGCAAAAGTGTTAATTTTTAAAAAAGAAAAAGTAATAGTAATTAGAACATACATCAAAACTTGATTGGCGTTTGTTAAAATTCAGCAGTGAACAGTGGGTTTTCCCGGGAAAAGTGGCAGGACAAAAGGGGGAGGGGGAGACACCTCTTAGATGTCTGGAAATCACAGAACGAATGGAAGAACCTTAAGTGTCCTTTAGTGTATCAGGGTCTTTTGAAGTGCATTTATTTTTATTTTTTAAAAAACATTATTAAAGTCTTGGCTTTTTCATTCTTATTTTGCATGTCACCTTTTGAATAATACAGAGAAGTGGCATTTCAACTATTAAATTCTACAAAAATGAGGAACTATCCAATGTTAGACTTTATTAATTTCCAAAGCTCTGCTTGAAGTGTGACCGATGTTGCATACCACCCATAAATGTTTGCATTAGGGTCCTTTTTCTGAACAGAAAAAGCTAATTATTCCTCCCTCATTTCCCTGATATATAGAGACACAGCAAGCCCCCATAAACCAAGTCATACTATTGGTCTCTCTTCCTCAGTATTGTGTCATAATAATAATAATAATAATAATAATAAAGTGATAAAATATCAAACATTTCAAACTTCCCTTTAGTTGTTGGCAGTGCCTGTCCTGGGTTTCTGGATAAGGAATCTTCTCAGCTCTGTCTAAAAATGGCAGAGCTTGAACCTGGAATCTTCTGCACACAAAAGAGATACTCTAGATCCCTCCTCTGGTTCACAGCTTCCTAATTACCCTGAACAGTAATTAAATAAATGAAGCTGCTTAGCCTAGAATTGGCTATATACATATATACAGTAATTATTTAAAATTCAGTGTCACGTAAAAAAGTCAAAAAATACATCCTTTTTAAAAAAAAATGTAAAGAAAACTGAACCATCTAAGGGTGTATAATCAATACCCATGTCTGAGATTCCTAGTTCTCCTTTAAGTCACCAGACCACAAAATAACAAAGAGCCTTGTGGCACCATAAAGGACTGATTTATTATAGCATAAACTTTCATGGGTGACTGTCTGCTTCGGCTGGTGAATCTGATGACAGACAGCTGCATCTTACGAAGTGGGTCTGAGTTAACAAAAGGTTATGGTGTCATGGATGTGTAAAGTCCTTTAATGTGTCACAAAACCCTCTTCCTTGTTTGTTTTTTTAACCACATGCCCTTCAGAATCCAGCTGCCCCTCTGCAGTTATTTAAGGTGCCTGGGTACGCTTCTCCATTCCATAGCACGGCTGTTGATTTCAGTGATCCCAAATTGCTCCAATAATTCCCTATTTAGATCTTAGCCTTCCCATGTGCTGGCAAATAAAATCACGGCCACTGTTTAAGCAGGTATAATTCCTGCGCTTGCATGTTTGTTTGCAAATGGGTGCTGTTTTTTTAAAACTAAAATAAAAAATTAGCCTCATTAGCATAGCGTGAGAGATGCGTCTTCTGACTGGCTAAATGATCTTGATGGCAAATTAAGTAATAATTCCTTGTTTTGTTTCGCTTTGAACTTTGGTGGATCTGTCCATTCTGCCTTAACAGTGGCTTCCCGTGGTTTCAGGCGAGGTGGGATCCTTTTATCAGAAGAGAAGGCAGGGATTTGATTTTTTGATCTACCACTTGCCTAGCCTAGTTTTTCAGTGGCTCTGCCGGTTGGGAATGCGGATCAGGCGCTAGATCCGGGACGGGAAAACTGCGGCTCTCCCAACGTTACAGGACTCCCACTCCCATCACCCCCTGTCCATTGGCTGTTCAGGTGGGGACTGATGGGAAATGGAGTCCAACAAGAACCTGTCTGCGCTAGAGAAAGCGGGAGGGGTCTCCCCGGAGTTAAATCTGATGACGCAATAAAAACATAAGGGCATCCTATGCCCTAAACTGGCCAATGCACCAACATTCATTGGATTCTAGTCGCGGTTAAGTTTTGATCATCATCAGCCCAGTGGAACAGGGAGTCAAGTTTACACACGAGGCGGAAAAACCAAAAGCAGACTTCTGATAGTTACTGAAACGAATCGCTTGGTTTCTTCATATGTAAAGTTTAAAAGTATTACTAAATGATCTGAAATGGAATTAGGAATGATCTAAAATGTCTGGGGTCCCTTTAAAATGTATATAAAAAATGGAAATCTCTGATAGAGACTGTATATTGATGTATATTCATGGGCAAGTGGGGTCTTGAACCCTGGTCTCCCGGGTCCTTGTCTGCAACTGCCACACCAAGACCAAAGCAGAAACCTTCCCCACACTCCCCTTTCCCCTTCTATAAAGAAACCCTTTCTGGGACCCCACATTTAAATTCTTCCCTGGTCTCCTTGCTGGCCCTAGTAGGACCAACTTGGCCAGTTAGCCCTGGTGATCATTTGATGTCTGCTAACTGGGTCCCCCCAAAAAATGACCCCTGAATTTTTGAATTTTATTGATACTGATGCTGCATTTTATGTTGTATTTTATGCTGTTTTATTCTGTTTTTAAGTCACATTTTAATCAATGTTTTATATTGCTGTTAGCCGCCCTGAGCCCGGTTTTTAAACCGGGAAGGGCGGGGTATAAATAAAAATTTATTATTATTCTTATTATTATATAAGCAACTTTTGAATTTATTTTTCTTCTTCTTAGACATGGTGGTTCTGAACAGCACGGATCTGATTCGGGAGGCGCTGCTGCGGAAATGGTCTGATTTTGCAGGACGGCCTCATGGATTTGTTGGTAATTGTAACCTGGTTGAATGGGAAGATATACACATAACCCTGGTTGAAACGTAACAACCAGCCATGACTGCTTAAGCAAACACGGATCAATCCTTGGTTCATTAGCCTAGTTTGCTCACTAATCACAGTCAGAAAAGAACTTAGTCTCCTCAGTTGGAGATAATGAGAAACTACAGTTTATTCAAAATTGCAAACTTTCAATTCCCTTTTCTTGTAGGGATAAGGGCAGAGGGAGAGATTTGGCTCATGCTTGCAACGGCAAGCCATGGTTTATTGTTACATCTGAACCTGACCATAGAGTCAAGGAAGGCCTGGACTAGAGCAACACAAAGCCCTCACTTCCTGTTCCCATGTGAAAGCAGAATCGTGACAAACATTGACAAGGAAATCCCTCTACCGTACCCCCTCATGCACCTTCCTGGAGCCAGTTTTAGGTGCCTAGTAGTGGTGGCAAATCAAAATGGCTGCCTTCACTTGGAAACAGGAAGTGCCAATCAAACTGTGTTTTGACTGGGAAGCTTTGTGTAAACTGTGAGCTTCACGTTGACCCTAATGGCCTTGTTCTACATAGAGGTTACATTATATTGATTCTCCCACAATCAAACACTTTTCATAGCAAATACCACTGAGGTAATTTTCTTTCATGCCTACCATGGCAGTGACTCCATTTCTGAATATGTGTTCTTCCTTTTCCCTGAATTGTTTTTTCCCAACAGGCAGAGCAATTCCTCCCCTTTCTCTGGCACTATTTTGCCACCCTCCTTGCGTATTTTTGCCTGGGTGAATGAAAACATTTTAATATTACAGGTAGTTGTAAAATAGGGAGCTGGGAGAGAGGAGCAGCAGCAGGAGAAGCAGCTCAGGGCCCGATTCCAAATAGGGGTGAAAACAGGATCCATATTCCATTCTGTCTTGTTCTTTGCTGCATGTAGACCTGTTTCCCTTCTGCTGCAGCTTGTCTTCTGTCAAAACCAAAATATGTCATGTGTGTTAGTTTCTGTTTCTCACTGAGCAGCTGCTTGGAGTCACAGGACTCTGTTTACATTCCAGAGACCTTCCAGTCTCATGGGAAGGGAGACGGGGTGTGACGTTAGTGGTTTCCTGTTTCCTTTGTTCCTTTGTTCAGTTGCTCTCTGCTTTCGTAGACAGAGGATGCATATTTCTTTGCTGTCTGCGTAGTAAGAAATAAAGCATAGCATGTAGCCCACACCTCTCGTCTCTTCCCTGTGCTGGGAACTCTGCTGAATAGAATATGCCTTGGAGCCTCATCAAAGGCTTGAGGTCGTTATACGTCGGGAGGCAATTCGACGGCTTGGACAAAGGAAGATGAGACTTTATCAGCTTGGCCGAGCGGAGATTCCAACAATGTATACAGTTCATCGTTGACATTACATTGTTCCACCCCAATCATTTCAGTGCACAGGCAATGGAAATCGGGAGGGGAAACAAATAAATTCTGTATCATTTGCAGACTGTAAGCAACAACAGCAAATCCTGGCTTAATTGATTTCCCTTCTGGCAATGGGGCCAATGAACGAACTCCGGTTTCTGTTCCGGTTTCCATCGCAATTTTCTGGTGTGTGATTGCATTCCGCCCCACCCCCCGGGAAAGAGCAGCAGTCTGGAAGCATTCCTTCTCTCCCTCCTACTTCTCGCCCTGCAGCAGACCTTGTTTCGTTGGGAGGCAAGGACCTCTCCTTGGGCAACTATACGCCGACCTGGCGTCTGCAGAGAAAAATGGCCCACGTAGCTTTCCAGCGCTGCCTGCGAGGAAACATGGAGCAGATTGTCCAGAGCCAGGCTCGTCAGCTCTGCAAGGTGAGATGCTGCAAATGCCACCGACTGATCAGGATGGGCGGCTTGTGCATCTTGTGAAGCCGTCTCTCCGGGGCCAGGACTTCCGCTTGTGCAACAGAACTTTCCCTCCCCTTTTAAAAAAACAAAAAAATGTGGAACCTCTAGCTTGGGCAATGAAACCCAGAACCATGTCGTTTTACTTTATGTCAGGGGCATAGCTGTCAACCATCCCTTATTCGGCGGGAAACTCCCTTATCCCAGTGCCATTTCCCACTGCTGTCCCTTATTGATGATGTCCCTTAAATTTCCCGGGTTTCATTTTTTTTTTATAAGTATTTTATTAAATTTTCACAATGAACAAACTTACATAGACAAAGAAAATACAAAATCACAAAAGACAATACAATACAAAAATACAAAACATTGAGCACATCAAAGAAAAAAGAGAAAAAGAAAAAAAAAGATAAAAACACATATAATAACAAAAAAACAAAAATTCCCTCTTTCTTAATTTCTCATTTTCAATTAGCTTATTTTCCCGACTTCCTCACATCTCCCGTTCTTGTATCCCTTTTTAAAAGTTAATTCAGCAAATTCATATCCTATTTATTTTATCTATTGTTAGTCCAATCTTACATTTTACTTTGTTGCTAAAGCCCCTAAGATTCATTTCAATGTCCTTAACTTTCATAACTTTTACAGTATTTCTGCAAATAAATTTTAAATTTCTTCCAATCTTCCTCCACCGTCTCCTCTCCCTGGTCTCGGATTCTGCCAGTCATTTCCGCCATCTCCATATAGTCCATTAGTTGCATCTGCCAATCTTCCAAGGTGGGTAGATCTTGTGTCTTCCAATGCTTTGCGATGAGAGTTCTTGCTGCTGCTGTAGCATACATAAAAAAAGTTCTATCCTTCTTTGACACCGATTGGTCCACTATGCCCAGGAGGAAGGCCTCTGGTTTCTTCGGGAAAGTATATCTAAATACCTTTTTCAGTTCATTATATATCATTTCCCAGAAGGCCTTGATCCTTGGGCACGTCCACCAAAGGTGAAAGAATGTACCTTCAATCTCTTTACATTTCCAACATTTGTTATCGGGCAAATGATATATTTTTGCAAGCTTGACTGGGGTCATGTACCACCTATATATCATTTTCATTATATTTTCTCTTAAGGCATTACATGCCGTAAACTTAATCCCGGTGGTCCACAACTTCTCCCAGTCAGCAAACATGATGTTATGACCCATGTCTTGTGCCCATTTTATCATTGCCGACTTTACTGTTTCTTCCTCAGTATTCCATTTCAACAGCAGATTATACATTCTCGAAAGTATCTTTACATTGGGTTCTAGCAGTTCTGTTTCCAACTTTGATTTTTCCACCTGGAAACCAATTTTTTTATCCAATTTATAAACCTCTCTTATCTGAAAATAATGTTGCCAGTCCCGCACCTAAATTTCCCGGGTTTCAAAGGAAGCAGCTCCTCTCCCTCCCTCCCTGCCAGCCGGCCAGGGAGGATGGAGGCTCCAACTGTGTTGCTTGGCTGCGTTGCTCACCCAATAAGGAGTCTAAGAACGACTGGGGGGTGGAGTTTGCATGCCTTGAGCCCGGCCGCGTTGCCTGGGGACTTGCCTTTGCTCAGCGCTTGCCAGCGGAGAAGTGACGGTGGTTTTCCTTGCTGCATCCCCTTTGCCGGGTTGCTGCGCTGTGGGAACCACCACTTAAAGCTTCGTTTGGCTGCTGGCTGGGCTTTCTGCCTTTGGCTCGGAGGGGCTCATAAGTTGAACATACCTGTGCTCGGAATCGGATGGATGCGTCATCGATGGCCCACTCACCCTTGCCAGGGAAAAGGTCTGTCTGGAGCAGGGGCACATGGTGGGGGAAAAGGAAAGGAACTGGTTGAGTACAATGGCGGGCGGCGATCTCGTGGGGGGGGGGCTTTTGGATTTGTTTTGGAGGCTCCTTCGATTGACTGTTATGGGGGAAAGGAAAGGAGATGGTTGACTAAAATCCCTTATTTTGGCTGCTGATCCCTTATTTTCAAATCTGTAAGTTGACAGCTATGGTCAGGGGTAGGGAACCTTTTTCAGACTGAGGGTAGCACTGTGGGTCACATGCCGTTGGTGGGCGGAGCCAGCAGCAAACGTGGGCTGAGCAACAGAGACGAACTTTGTACGGTGGGCTGCGCTTCAGCCATCCAAAAGTCAGGGGTTTCTGGGTGCACCTCCAGGCAAGCGAAAAGCATCATCACTCTCTAAGGAGAGGGGAGAGTCCTGAGCAGGGGTCAGCAAACCTTTTCATCAGGGGGCCGGTCCACTGTCCCTCCGACCTTGTGGGGGACTGGACTATAAGCCACCCCCCACGACTCTCCCCTCCATTCTTCACAGCACCGGACGAGCCCCGGTGGCTGCTTACCTGTGTCTTGCAAGCGGCAGGGGCTGGTGGCAGCGGAGGGACAATGAGCGGCGCATGAAAGGGCTCTGGAGAGGGGCTGCTTAAAATGGCGGCCGCTGAAGCGCTGCTGCTGCTGGCACCAACAAAGCCCAATCCCCTTCCTTCTCTAGGCAGGGCGGGGAGAAGCCAGGAGGAGGGAGGGAGGAGGTGCCTGCAGCAACTTCTGGTCAGTTTTACCATTTCTGCATATTCCATTCTTCCTTTACTGGGAATTCTGCTTCTTTCCATTTTGGGGCAAGTAGCATTCTTGCTGCTGTAGTAGCATACATAAATAAGTTTCTATACAGTTTAGGTAGTTCTGTCCCTATAACTCCCCAGAGAAAAGTTTCTTTTTAAAAAATAAAATAAAATAAAATTTACTTTGAACATCTTTTTCAATTCATTATATATCATTTCCCATAAAGCTTTAACCTTACTACAAGACCACCACATATGATAAAAAGAACCTTCTTTCTCTTTACATTTACAACGCTTGTTTGATTTAGATATATCCATTTTTGCCAGTTCACTTTGTGTTAGATACCAACGATATGTCATTTTTGTATAATTTTCTCAGAAACCATAACATGCTGTAAATTTTATAACCAAATTCCACAATCGTTCTCATGTTTCCATGTCTATATTATGACCAATCTCTACCGTCCAGATGATGCTACATGTTCTAAGGGAAGCCTTTTCCTCTTCTGGTTTTCTCAGGCTTTCCATGGTTATGGGGGCAAACCTGTGGATTTGGCTAAGGATTTCTCTCTGCAAGCCTGTGGGGTCATCTGCAGCGTCTTGTTCGGCCCTTTGGTGAGTAGGAACGGAGGCATTTGTCCACTTCAGTCCCCCTCAGTTTCTCCTTTTCCCGTTCTCAAGTTCAGATCTCTGTAAGTGCACATCAGTTTGCAATTTCTCTCTTAAAATGTCCTCATGAAAATTCAATGACATTTGAGTGGGCGCCTAATTTACCCATTTTTGCAATGCATTTCGCCCTAATATAAAACATTTTTGTCTGTCATTTTCACCGATTCATGTATTTTATGCACATCTTATGCTAGCATGTGCACTTTTGCACATTACTTGCCCCAAGAACTGCAATGCAAAATCCAGAGAAGTCCCCAGGAGAATTCAACTAGAGCCAGGGCTTTTTCGGCTGTGGCTCCGATCTGGTGGAACGCTCTGTCACAAGAGACCAGGGCCCTGCGGGACTTGACATCTTTCCGCAGGGCCTGCAAGCCAGAGCTGTTCCCCCAGGCCTTTGGCAAGGGCACAGTCTGACCCCCTCCCTCGGCAATCTTCGCGGCGCTCTGGCCCAATGGTTGCCAGTGGCTTGAATTAATTAATTTTATAATGAATGATTTTAGAGTGTTGTTAATGCTGTACTTTTGTACTGTTTTATTGTTGTTAGCCGCCCTGAGCCCGGCTTCGGCTGGGGAGGGCGGGATATAAATAAAATTTATTATTATTATTATTAGTAGTAGTAGTAGTAGTAGTATTTTAGTGGGTGATTCCCTAATACACCTACGTCCCCTTAATTTCCCCTTAATATACACATACAAATTTAAGAAGAGCCTGGACCTTTTTAGTCCAGGTATCCTGTTCTCACTGTGTGCTATTTTCATGGATGTACATGGATGGGCGGGGTGTAAATAATAAATTGTTGTTGTTGTTGTTGTTGTCGTCACTGCTTTCCCACTAAACTGCATTTTTGTACACCTCATTTATCTGGAGAAACGCGCCACAAAATTTTGCAAGGGCAGCTGCATTTCAGTTCATGTTTAGGTAACAAAGCAAATTAGGTCACTGCAGCAAAATGTGTACAGTTCCAAATTTGTCCCTATCCCTATTGCTGAGTCATAAGGTGTACAGTCAAATCTCGGATCCTGAACGCCTCCGTTTTGGCACGTTTCCGTTCCTGAACGTCAAAAACTCGGAAGTAAATGCTCCGATTTTCGAATGCTTTTGAGAAGCTGTGCCTTGGTTGTTGATCATCTTCCCGGAAGCTGAACGTTCTTCCAGAACGGATTATGTTCAACAACTGAGGTTTGACTATAATGGCAGGAAATACCACTGTTGTCATTGGACTCCCCTTCTTGTTAAATCACCTTTTCTCATGGCTATCTGCTCCGACTAGGGATGGAAGGAGCTGTCAGTTCTACTCCTCTCAATTTCTCATCCCCACCCCCAATTTTAAATTCAGTTTTCTACATTTTGCAGCAATTTTCTTTTTATTTTTTAAAAAACCCCACGAAATTCAGGCAGAATTTTAGTGCAAATGTCACTTTCTTCTTCGGCGATCCCTTGTAGCCGAGTAAGATTGTCTTCCATAAACACGGTTTTAACAATGAGTCTGTAAGTGACTGTGGAGGCCAATTCTGGACCCACACGTCCTTCCACAGTGGGAATATTGGTTTCCGGGCGGGAGTTGATCACAGTGTGGATTTGCCAAGTGTTCCTTCCTCTTAGCACATTTATCCCTTGCGTCCTGAGTTCGAGTGTCTTCAAAGCCCAGGACACCTTTGGTAAAGGCTGTTCTCCAACTAGAGCGCTCGCAGGTCAGTGTTTCCCAGTTGTCAGTGTTTGTACTATAAAGGGATCTAAACCACAGAACCTGGGGCTTGCCGATCAGAAGGTCGGCAGTTCGAATCCCTGCGACACGTGAGTTCCCGTTGCTCAGTCCCTGCTCCTGCCCACCTAGCAGTTCGCTAGGCCACAGTAACTCCCCCCTCTCTCCTTTCTTGGAGATTTCTTTTTTATAATTTTTATTATTATTAAACATTTCAACATAACAATTTATCAAAATCATATCAACCTCATCCCCCCGCCTAAATTTCCCACCCCCATCCTTGAAAAGAACCCACCCTCCCACCCCCTCCCGGACTTCCCTCAGCTCCTCTCTCTGGTTTTTGATCACATGTTACTCTCTGCATATTCTAAAATTGTAATGACCCTTAATTTATCTGTCTATATGTTACCAATAGGGACGCGGGGGGCGCTGTGGGTTAAACCACAGAGCCTAGGACTTGCCGATCAGAAGGTCGGCGGTTCAAATCCCTGTGACGGGGTGAGTTCCCGTTGCTCGGTCCCTGCTCCTGCCAACCTAGCAGTTCGAAAGCACGTCAAAGTGCAAGTAGATAAATAGGTACCGCTCCGGCGGGAAGTTAAACGGCATTTCCGTGCGCTGCTCTGGTTTGCCAGAAGCGGCTTAGTCATGCTGGCCACATGACCCGGAAGCTATACGCTGGCTCCCTCGGCCAATAAAGCTAGATGAGCGCCACAACCCCAGAGTCGTCCGTGACTGGACCTAATGGTCAGGGGTCCCTTTACCTTTTATACTACATTTTTTTAGATTTGCCTTCAAACCTATTTATCTTTTCATACACAGTTTTTACTAATGTATGTACACAGTTTTACACAAGCAGTTTCCTCTAATTTGATGCTAGCAACTTTTGCACCCCCCCCCCCCCATATTTGTATTTCTGCCAATCTTGTGTTGTCGGAGAACAGCCTCACAAAATTTGGGCAGGTGCGTACTTTGAAAGAAGGCTGTGTTTGGGGTCACATATTGCTTCAGAAAGTCTGAGTTTGACAGATTTGCCGGAAATGAATTGACTCTCCCAGCATCCCTCCTGCCATTTGTCTTCGTCTCCAGCCTGACTCTGCACTTTCCTCCACTTCAGGACAATTTCACCATTGAGAAACTGCATGACTGCATCTACAAGATAATGGAAAACTGGGGTGCAATCTCTGTCCAGGTGGTGGATGCCTTGCCCTTCCTCAAGGTACAGGGGCAGCAATGAGCTGGCTAACTAGGGGGGAAACACCATTGCCACCTAAACTTGCCTTGCTTGGCCAAGGTCAATTTCACTTTCTTAAAGAGCATCTCCACCCCATCATTCTGCCCAGATACTAAGGTCCAGCTCTGAGGGCTTTCTGGTGGTTCCTTCACTGCAAGAAGTGAGGTTACAGGGAACCAGGCAGAGGGCCTTCTCGGTAGTGGCGCCCGCCCTGTGGAACGTTGTTATGTACTGAGTTGAATAGGATTCAGAATGCAGCAGTCTGATTGGTCCTAGAACAATAGGGTCGAGAATGCAGCAGTCTGACTAGTCCACAGGAGCCACCCACTTCCTCCAGTTGGAAGTGAATCCGCAACCTGATTGGCCTACAGGTGAATCCCGGAATTAGCCAATCACGTGGGGCCCGTTGTGCAAATAATGTATATAAAGCAGACATTCTGGGGGAACTTCCATTCCTCCTCACCACTATGAGCTGAATAAAGAGCATGAAATCCATTCTCAACTCCGAGTCTGTTTCAAACGCCCTCCCATCAGGTGTCAAGGAAATAGACAACTATCCGACTTTTAGAAGACATCTGAAGGCAGCCCTGTTTAGCGGAGTGTTTGATGTTTTATCGTGTTTTTAATATTCTGTTGGGAGCCGTCCAGAGTGGCTGGGAAAACCAAGCCAGATGGGCAGGGTATAAACAAACATCATCATTATTATTATTATTATTATTATTATTATTATTATTAAAGCAAGTTTATTGACTGGTTCTAGTCAAAGCGCTTTGCTGCACAGCTCAAGCAAGCAGGCTGCTTTGGACTTTGCTATGCTGAGATAGCCTGGTTCTCTGCAAAAGTGGGAGAAATAATCGGGTGGGTCTCTGGGTGTTTAGTGCTGAAAATCTTCTGCTTCCCTGACACCCTAGGTCTTCCCCAATGCCAATTTGCGCCACCTGCTCTCCTGCATCAAAAGCCGGGATGCCTTGGTCCAGCACGTGATGAAGAAACACCAGGTGAGGATATGGATGGTGAGCAGGTTGGGATCTTCTTGTGGGGATCTGCAGCAGGAGACTAGGACACTCATTGGCCCTTGATGCAGCAATGTGGAGAAGCAGCACTTCAAGGTACTATGGAAGATGACATCATGCATTTGTTGGGTAGAAATCCAACTGGTGCAGTGGTGCTCAAGGAAGACCTTTTTAAAAAATAAAATAAAATTCAAAGATCTTTATTGAAACTTAACATATATACATAATAACCAAAATTCCCAATGATTCCCTCACATGAAATATAATATCTACATTACAACAGTTGCATAATTATACACTTAATTATAAAACCCATCACCCACCCCTCCACAGCAATTCGACTTCTGTATATTTCTTTCAACATTTTCCTCCTTGCTTTCTATAATAAATTATTTTTGTTAAATTCTGATTTTTCCCCCCTTTGTTTTGTTATTGCTTACATTTTTTTATCCTAAGCCTATTAACATGTCATTTTTAGAACAATGTTTTGACATATAATCTTCGAAATACTTCCACTCCATTCTTAACTTTTGATTTGATTGATATCTTATAATTGAAGTTAATTTTGCCAATTCTATATACTCATTTAATTTACAAATCCACTCTTCCTTTGTTGGTATGTCCTGAGATTTCCATTTAGTAGCAATCACTACGCTGGCAGCTGTTGCATATACAGTGGTGCCTCGCAAGACGAAATTAATTCGTTCCACGAGTTTTTTCTTCTTGCGAGTTTTTCGTCTTGCGAAGCACGGTTTCCCATAGGAATGCATTGAAAATCAATTAATGCGTTCCTATGGAAACCGCCTTCAGACCAGGTCCGGGGACAGTCTGTCCCCGGACCTCTTCTGAAGGCAGGCTGGGGGGGAACGGCAAGCTCCGGGGACAGAGGTGAAGGGGCAGCGCTCCTTCGCCTCTTTCCTCGAACCTCTTCTGTAGGCAGGCGGGGGGAGAACGGCTTTTCTTCCCACCGCCAGCCTTCAGAAGACTATTTGTTCATTTATTTGTTTATTACTTTTATATACTACCTTTATCTTCCAAGGAGTTCAAGATGGGGCACATGGTTCCCCAGTTCCTTCTCACAACAACACTGTGAGGTAGGCTAGGCTAGGAGATCGTGACAGGCCCAAGGTCGCCCAATGAGCTTCATGTCTGAGTGGGGAAGGGTGAATTGTCAAGATTCGTCCATTAGTAAAGGACTGGGGGGGGGGGGGGCTTGTGGCCTTCCAGAGCTACATTGGATTCACATCACATCAACTGTTACGTGGCCTGACTGGGACCGATTGGAGTTGAAGTCCAACATCACATGAAAAAGGCCACAAGTTGTCCATTCCTGTGTCAGTGAATGCCTCTGTTGAATGAGAAGGTTTGAAATTCCTCCAGAATGTTCATAACGAGGGAAACAAATACAAGTAGGCCATTCCACAGATGGGGAGCCACCACCGAGAAGGCCCTGTCACATGAACAGACAAAACGGTAGGGCGATTTCAGTGATGGGGCGTGGGGTGGGCTTTTCATGACAACTGGACGTGGAGATTAGATTCAGTCAGCGCTCTTAGATTCCCTTGGGAAGGAGTGGGTGACGTCCTGGTTAAGCAGAAACTGAAGAGGTCATAGCATTGGGGTCTCTTTTGATTTTGGAGGAGCTTAAGAATATTAGAAGAGGCCTGGTGGAACAGGCCATTGGCCCACCTAGTCCAGCACCCTGTTCTCATGGTGGCCTGAGGAAAACTGGCAAGCAGGACTGAAGCACAAGAACACTCTCCCCTTGTGGTTTCCAGCAACTGATACTTGGAAGCATTGCTGCCTTGAGGTTCTCCCTTGCTTGGGCACTAAGCCACTTCTGCTCTCTCTCTCTCAGGAGCCCCACAGCACCTCAGAAGGACAGGACATGGTGGACCACATGCTGCAATTCCAGCATGAACATGGGGCGAGTGAGGGCAAGGGGACGGGCCTTGTGCCAGAACACGTCCACATGGCCATTGTTGACATGCTCATCGGAGGCACTGAGACCACAGCAACTTTACTCAGCTGGGCTGTGGCCTTTTTGGTGCATCGCCCACAGGTAGGATGCAGCGGTGTGTGTGTGTGTGTGTGTGTGTGTGGCATCCCAAGCTTGATGGTTCGCTAGGCCACAGTAGCTTCCCCCTCTCTCCTTTCTTGGAGGTTTCTTTTTAAAAATAATTTATTATTATTATTAAACATTTCAACGCAACAATTTATCAAAAACATATCAACCTCATTTCACCCCCCATCCCTGAAAAGAACCCACCCTCCCACCCCCTCCCGGACTTCCCTCAGCTCCTCTCTCTGGTTTTTGATCACATGTTACTCTCTGCATATTCTAAAATTGTAATGATCCTTAATTTATCTGTCTATATGTTACCAATAGGGACGTGGGTGGCACTGTGGGTTAAACCACAGAGACTAGGGCTTGCCGATCAGAAAGTCGGCGGTTCGAATCCCCGCGACGGGGTGAGCTCCCGTTGCTCGGTCCCTGCTCCTGCCAACCTAGCAGTTTGAAAGCACGTCAAAGTGCAAGAAGATAAATAGGTACCGCTCCAGCGGGAAGGTAAACGGCGTTTCCGTGCGCTGCTCTGGTTCACCAGAAGCGGCTTAGTCATGCTGGCCACATGACCCGAAAGCTGTATGCCGGCTCCCTCGGCCAGTAAAGCGAGATGAGCTCTGCAACCCCAGAGTCGGTCACGACTGGACCTAATGGTCGGGGTCCCTTTACCTTTACCTTTTATGTTACCAATAATACATTTGTGTCTGTTTATTCAAAACCTGCCAAGGAGATCGGTTCATTTTGTTGTTTCTTTAAGTACTTTGTAAAAGGTTTCCATTCTTTAAAATCACAATCCTTGTCGCATAATTTATCTGTCAGTTTCGCCAGTTCCGCATAGTCCATCAATTTCCCTTGCCACTGCTCTTTTTTCAGGATTTCTTCATTCTTTCTTGGAGGTTTCTGAGCAGAGGTTGGATGCCCATCTGTCATGGGAGTTAGACTAGATGACGCTTGGGGTCTCTTCCAACTCTACAATGCTGTTATTCAGCCCGTGTTTGTGCAGGGTGGGGTAGGGAGGCTTTCTGTGCCTAAGGGTTGCGTCCCCTCATGTCAGCCTGGGTCTATAGCAAACTACAGGGATCCTAAATCTGCCGGAATGTCTTCTCCGCACCCCAATTTGTTTTTTGTTTTTTTTAAAAAAGATATATATTAAAAATTTTATAAAACAAAACAAAAAAGTCATAACAGAAAGATAAACATATAAAAAAGAATTACAAAAAATACAACAATAAATGACTCAAACACATAACAACACAAAAAAACCCCGACCAATCAAATCAAATCAAATCACATCACATAAATTCCGAATTACAAAGCCGAATTTTAAATTTTTGTTGGGGGTACCCATATTTCAAGTTCCGAAGGGGATTCCAATCATCATCTTGCTACTGCATTAATGTCCACAAATCTGTCCAAATAATGTTCACAATTCTATTCAGTCCTATCTTGCTGTTCCCACATCTCATCTTGTTATTTTCATATATTTTTCTTTTTTCTTTGTGATCTCTTCTGATAATCTCCTTAAGCAGGTAAACACAAATTATAATCCTGTGTGGATTTTTCCATTCGTCCAATAACCATATCGAGATGGTTTCCATATATCATCACTTCCATAAATCAGTCAGTTTTATTGCACATAGCCAAAGGCTGCCGCAATGTACACAGAATTATTTGACAATTAAAAGTAAATATACTGAATTGGTAAAAAAAGGCTTAAAACATTTATATTATTAAAACATTACGTACTCTAAACAAAGCTATAAAAGTACCCCAATGTACAAATAAAAACATTAAACAATAAAATTCATAAGCTAAAATCATCACATGGTCACTAATGTTAAAAACAATATCAATTAATACAATGTGCAATTTATACTCAGAGTTTGGTGACAAAGATAGAGCATAGCCTGAGGTAGATAGATAGGATCAGATAAATTCATCTCCTTTACAGTTAATGGCTACCTTGGCTATATAATTTGCTCTAATTTTCCTGGCAGCAGTTGCAAAAAGTGCTACCCGCCAGGTCACATACTTATCTGTGTCTGCAAGGAGATATAACATCATATCAAGGGGGTTCTGGCCAGGGGACCCTGTCATTATAGGTACCAAAAATCTTTTTCTTGCATCATTATATAACGGACAGTGCAAGATATAATGCATAAGGTCCTCTACTTCAGAACATCCCCTAATGCAAACACGTTCGTTTTTGGTATGCCTCTATGTCTCCCATCTCTATAAGCAGAGCTTATTGTATTTAGTCGTAGCTCTGTAAAAGCTTTTCGAAGCTGTGCAAAAGTCAATTCATTAAAATAAGATATGTGTTCATTGACCTCTCTAAGTTTAAAATACAATGGGGCGCATGTAGATGTGCACATAGAGTTTAGATCGTTTTTAGTTGCCACTGCCCTTATGGTTCGTTTAAAAATATTTTTCTGTGAATATAAGGGGAGTTCTTTAATCTCAGTCACTGAGAGATCATATTTGCCCATCAGTTGGGCAGCATGATGTACCCAGTTTTTAAGGGGTAATCCATTTGAGAGCTCAATCAGGCATTTTTTTGGTAGCCTAGTGTTGTCCATCTGTTGAACTCTAAACCAGTAACAGAGAATTCTTTTATCTATTTGGCTCTCTATGCTCAACATGCGAGTTTCCAACCTGACCATGGCAGATTGCACGTCTTTGGGTAAACCTAAAAGAACTCTTAAAAATAATTCTGTGGGGGTTCCAGACCGGAGACCTTTGAGGTACCCCAAACCTCTGCACCATATAAAATCTGGGCCATTGTTTTTGCTTTATACACAGATAGAGCTGGGTTGACCAGATTTCCACCTTTACATGCAGCGAATTTCAGAATGGCTTTTGCTGATTTAAAGGCTTGCAATTTAATATTGGATAGCTGTGTATTCCAAGATGCCGTTTCTGAATAAATCAATCCCAGATATTTAAACGTATTTACTTGATTTATGATGTGTTCATCCAGGTGCCAAACATGCTTTTTAGAACGCTTCCCAAATACAATGACCTGCGTCTTATCATAGTTTATAGATAAAGCATTCCTCATACAATATGAACTTAATTTTGCAAGCAGCCGTCTCAGGCCCACCTGGGTTCTAGATACAAGTACTAGGTCATCAGCATACATTAAAACTGAGAGTTTTTGGTCGAGAATTGTGACAGGGGCAAACTGTAGGCCCTCCAGTTCTTTAACCATGTCATTAATATAAAAATTGAACAGGAAAGGTGCCAAAATGCATCCCTGTTTGACTCCAGTGGTGGTCTTAATTCTGGTGGTGAGATGGCCAGCCAGATCCACCTTTACTTGTATTGATGTGTCAGTATATAATGTTTTGATGAGAAATAATAGACGGAGGTCTATATTTGTCTTTTCCAATTTTTGCCACAATGCGTGTCTTGGGACCGTATCAAAAGCTGACTTTAGATCGATAAAAGCAACATATAATTTTTGCTTCAAGTTATGGATGTATTTACATAGCAGAAAGTTCAGCACAAAGCACTGGTCCAATGTGGATTTCCCTCTTTGGAAACCTGCCTGGACTTCAGATATCACCTTATTTGAATCTGCCCATTCTTCTAGTCTCCCAAGAAGGAGCCTGGCATATAGTTTGGAGGCTACATCTAACAAACTAATGGGTCTATAATTGGCAGGGTTTTTCTTATCGCCCTTTTTATATATTGGGGCAATTATGCTCAACTTCCACCCTTCAGGTATACGACCTGAGCTGTTATTTTTTTTTTTTTTAAATAATATTTATTAAAAGTTTCAAAAATACAGAAAGTAAAAAGTAAAATACATTCAGATCCTTATTTTCATATATCCACTTTCTGGGACTCCCCCCTTCCCCCACCCCTACCATATTCCTTTTTCATGTTGTTGGCTCCACAAGCTCTCGGTTCTGATTATAAACATAATTTGTTTAAACCATTATTCGAATTTAAGATTTCTACACTCCTCATCAATACCCTTAATAAAAAACCAAAAATTTCTTTCCCAGAGCCCACCCCATTTTCATTCCACAATTTCCCTTTTTTTAGTAATTAAGACACCCCACATAGTAGAAATATCAGAAATAAGAAATAAAAGATATAATAGATAAAACAAAGCCAGTTCAAAAAAAAAGAAGTTGACAAGCCTTTGGATTTTAGTTCTCCCCCTCTGTCCCCGGTTTAATTTCCCCCTGACCACCAAACCATGTTATCCGCCTGGAATTCTTACAATCCATAAATCGCCTATTTCCCCCAACTCCTTGCTGGTTTTGTTTTGTTTTGTTTTGTTTTTTTTTTCCTTTCATAATTATTTTTAAAACACTTAACTTCAGATCTTTAATAAAGCTCCCCCCATTGTTCTTTCCAAATTGTAGTCCAGTTTCCTCTTGTTCCGCTGCTGAAACGTTCTAATTCAGAAGCTTAGTAAGCCTGCAGGGATTATTGTTATTCAGGAACAAAAACTTGCGTTCAGTCCCTTCCTTTCTTCAATAGAAAATTCTATTGTCTCCTTTAGCTGAACACCCTGTAGACAAAATATTATTTCCGTTTTGCAGCTTTCCCAGAAGATAACCAGTTCTGTAAAATTCCAATGGTATTTTTCCACTTACGACCATCTTTGTAATGTCCCGAAACTCCTCTAGGGGGATTGTTGTAACTTTGTTTTCTCTAGTCCAAAAGTCCGATTGTTATCCATATTTTCGCCATTTTGTATCCAAGTTTTAACAAGTTGTAGCAAATTGTAACAAATTTAGCCAGCAAAGTTCTCATAATAAAATCCTCTCTGCTTTCCGACTTTGACAGCTACTTTGACAGCTGTCAAAATCTCCGACTCTTTTCACCAGGCTCTCTCTTCAATCACCCCGGTTCCCAGGGGGGGGGGTTACGTTTCTTCTCCCTCAATTCGTCCTCCAGCACAGTTCTTATGATTCCCCATCGTGGAATTCTTAATTTTTATCAGCAATACAAATCTTTTTGGACCTTGGTTTCCCCGTCCTTGTCTTGGAAGGTTTACAATAGGGGGGGGGACTGACTTCCTTTTTGGATCCCCCCCCGCTCGTGTCCAATTCAAAAAGAAATTCTTTTTTTCCTCCTTTTAAACCCAATTTTCAAATTACTCACGGGTTGTTGTTAAAAAGTCCGAATTTTCAATGGAAGAAGTCAGCGCTCTCCGCCGGATGGCATGCGGCTGCGCTCGGCAGGGATAGCAGAGGACTCAAAGCACCACGCTTCTCCCCGGCACCCGATCCGTAGCCTTTAAAAAGGCTCCTTCACGAGTCGGGAGGGCGCTGACGGTGCCAGCCGAGTCTCCATGTCCACGGCCCTCGTGGCCGTGGTTTTTAAGGGTCCCCGCATCGCCGGTGCGGTAGGACCCAGCCCCTGCCGAGCAGGCTCCCTCCGGAGCTCGGAGGGAGTCCGCCATTCGGCGATGGCGCCAACCCGGAAGTCCCGACCTGAGCTGTTAATGTATGAAAACAATTTTGCAAATATGGGTGACCAGAAATCAGGTCTTATTTTATAGATCTCCATTGGGATCATGTCTTCTCCTGGAGCTTTATTAGCTAGTTGGCTTGCGATTAGCCTCTTAATTTGATTGGGCGTGACGTCTGGCCATTCTGGCAGTTCTGATAACTGAGTATAGTAAACTTGTGGGGATAGGTCAGGACAGGGGCCATATATTTCTGTAAAATATGTCACCCAATCCTTTCCTTGGACAGATGCTTCTAACGAGTAGCCCAGCCCATTTGTGCCTTGGGCAACCAGATGCCAAAATTTCCGTGAGTCCTTCTGAAGTGCTGCATCTCCCAATTCTTTCCACTGTTGTTCATAATATATTTGTTTCTTGCTTTTAAGTAATAATTTATAGTTGTTTCGTAACTGGGCTACCTCAGCTTGTAGGGCAAGATTGTGCTTATCCTGTTTTAACTTCAATTTTCTAAGTACCCTAGCTAGGCATTTTTGCTATTCTGACATTCCTTATCAAACCAAGTCTGTCTCTTAAACTTTTTGTTTTTTATCACACTAGCTGTGGTCATCAGTGGGCGCATTCGGTTGATTATGTTCTCATAAAGTCCAATTACATTTCCTGTTTCTAACAACATTTTCCCCTTTAATAAAGCAAATTCATGGGAATCCAGGATCTGAATCATTTTTTCTTGGACCTGTGCATTCCATTTTAACCTTCTATTTCCAAGTATCAGATATTCTGTTTCGTCCAATAATTTAGGAAAGGCAGGAGAAAAGAATAATGTCAGAGATAACTCAAGTGGAAAGTGGTCACTTTCAGCTCTGGGAATTACCCTGAAGGTATCTCGGTTAACTGGCACATTATTAGATGTTAGGATATAATCTATGGTGCTAGTAAATCCTCTGGGGGAGGTAAAAGTAAAATAACCCTCTTGATCCCCTTGACCGTGCCCATTGCATAACAAAAGGTTATGCTTTATTATAAGTTCACAAAGATGTTTCCCAGCGCGATTAGAGGTGGTGTCCATTGCTGCCCTCTGACAGATTTCAGGTTCGTCCTCCAAGTTTAGACCAGATAATATTGTATTTTGTGGGGAAACAAGGCCGATCCGGGCATTGAAGTCACCTCCCAAGATAAACCGAGGGTTAGGTGACAGAGAGTCAATACTTTCGAGTAGTTGGTCAAGTTTATCCCAATATGATCTCAGTTCCCCACAAGACTTTACTGGAGGTATATACACACATATGCAATAAGTATTTCTCAGGAGACTATCAGAAAGAGACAACACTAAAAAATTAGGGGTGGTCAGCAAGGGACACTGTTGAATTGATACATTAAGAGAGGTTGACACCAGCACCGCCAGCCCCCCACTAGGCCTTCCATACTTTACAGTTTTAAGAGCTGGTTGAGTGTAACTTGTAAAACCCTGTAATTCAACCATAGTGCCCTCTTTTGCCCAGGTTTCTTGAAGAAAGATGATATCATGTGTTTGTAGGTAAGAACAGAAATCACTGTCTTGGATCTTGTTCGTCCACCCTGTTACATTCCATGAGAGAAGTTTAATTGTTTTACAGTGATTTACTCTTAGTCAATTGTTGGCCGATGTGCTCTCGGAGTTTACCAGTTTTTGAGGCAGGTTATTGCTAATGCTTGTGGAATAATCCAGATGTTCGATTATTTCAGTCGTCGTACATAAAGTACTCACATTTGTAATCACTGGGCCTTTTCTTTGCAAATTGTTTGCCAATGGGGATTTCTTGGGTGTATTTCCTGACTCCTCCTCTTCTAAATATCTCATCTTTGTCCAATACTCCGGTGGTTCTATAGTTATCATTCTGTTGTGGCCATTGGATCTATTATCAATCTCTGCCTCCGGTTCCTTAATCTCTTTCAGTGTCTGGCTCATAAGATCAAGCCTCTTGATAACTCTTTGTTGCTCTTCCTGAGGGAGATTCCTAAAGGAGCTGAGAAAATCCTCTTCCAAGGGATTTACAGAGTGCTCAGATTCCTGAAGATGATTGTCTAGAGGAATCGGCTGTTCCTTTTGGCTCACCTGGTTATTTTGATGTTGGGCATGATCCTGCGGATTCAACTCAGGCATGTCTGTTTCCTCCCCACCTGCCAAGTCTTTTTGTGATGTCATTACTTCCATTGGGGATCCAGGCTTTGGTTTTGTGGGCCCCTCTGAAGCAGCAGTCCTCATCTTACATAAGGGTGCAACAATAGAATTGCAAAATACCCGGGTTGGGAAAACTCCTCTACTTGACAATCTGAATTTCAGCTTGTGAATTAGTGAGGGCAGTCTAGTAGAGTAAAAAGTTAACATAATTTTTTGGCTTTGATTTGTGGTACTCAAGAGTTCAGTCCTAACGAGGTCGATCTCTGTAAGTCCAATGCCAAGTAAGTTTGATAAATGTCGTTTGGAACGCTGGGCACCTTTCCAGCTAGGAGTTTGATCTGGCCTTCCACAAATTGTCATGCAGATCTTTTTTGGTTGGAAGATTAAACAAGAAGAGTTTGTTTTAAGAGCCTCTGCACATTCTATGTTGAGCTTAGGGGTCTGCTCTTGTTGTCGCCAATTTCCTTTGGTATTATGGTGTTCTGTTGATGCCTGCTTGTTATTAACTGATAAACTGTGGACCTCTTTGGATAACTGGGTTATTTGAGAGGCAAGACCTCTAATTTGCTGGAAGATATGCTCAACCGTTCTTGCAATTAGAGTTAATTGGGAGCTCTCCCTCCTTGTTATTTCTTCCTCTCTGAGGAGCACAGGATCAGCTTGCCCCATTGCTGGATCCAGTTCCACGCTCTCACCTTGAATACTCTCCCCACACTCACAATCATCTTCAAGAGGATAAAACAGGTTTTTTGTTGGAACTGTAAAAGCAGATTTGTTAAAAAAGTCCTCTATTTTAGATTGTTTGGAAGCCGGTGAGAGAGCTACATCCTCTGGGTCCCTGTGGCGTTTACTAGCAGGCATAGCGTCACCGTAGGGAGTAAACAAGGAGAGGTTTCCCCAACCAAAAAAGAGAGAAAAGAATAGAAAGTGCTCAGTTTGTTCTCTGTGTGGAGACTGCCAGGGGTTTCAGGGACAAAGTATAGGAGGGAGTTGGCAGTTAATAGCTAGCAGCTGGCGGCCTGCCCAGGATGCTTCACAGAACTTGCCCAGGATGTTTCTCATAGCATAGACTCTCCGTAAGTTAAAAAGTAGAGAAGTAAAAAAGGAAAAATTACTTCCCTGGGTGGCAGTCAATGCTAATTACAGACCTGCTCTCAGCGGAGCTCCGAAGCCTGCTTGCTAAACCGTCGCCATCTTGGCCCTCCGTTACCCCCACTTCCATAAATAAAAGCACTCTTTCCATCATTAATCTTCACAAATCTGTCGCCTTCTTTAGTCCTCTGAAGAGGTTCGCCCGCAGTATGAAAACAAATGCATTCCTCCTCCCAGACATAAATCTTTCGACAGAACTTGCCAAAATGGCGACGCTGTTTTTTACTGCGTCATCCCAAAGCTCTTGTACTTTTCCACAATCTCCTTAAAACATGCTTTTGGTTAGAAATTATATCCACACAGTCTTAAATCTTCCATCGTAGGTCATTTAAGCGGCATTTCTGACGTGGGGGGGGGAATTATTGGTTAATCACATAGAAGAAAGAAAGGAAAGTTCCCCCCCCCATCCAGTCCCGTTGCCGACATACCGAGCCTTGGTGTGTCTTCTCATGATATACCGATTTGTTCTTATCTTTGCCACTCCAGATCCAGGAGCGAATCCATGAAGAGCTCATGGCTGTGGTGGGAACAAGCCGTGACCCCACCTATAGTGACCGGGAGCACCTGCCCTTCTTGAACGCCACCATCTTGGAGACCTTGCGCTTGCGCCCCTCAGCAGTCCTTGCTTTGCCCCACATGACCATCCGGGATACAAGGTACCCAGTTTCTGCAAGGCCTATCCTGACATTCTCCATGTGTAGAAGGAAACCACGGGGGCTGTGCTGCTGGACCACCTCCGACAGTGCGCTCCCCGGAGAGCCACACGTTGGTGTTGATACCTGTAGGTTCTCATGTGCGAACATCCACTGGGCTGATAGATATCCATGCCAATGCAGTGGACTTCTGAGCTGGTGCCATACAGAGGGTGTCAAGAAGGGGTTAACAGCACAGCTCTTGCTCCCACTTTTATGCTGCTGCTATTAATTTGATTAGTGAATTGCTTCCTATGAGCATAAGTTGTGGATGTTTAAAAACGTGTTCCCAAACAGATGTAGATACCTGGAGAACTGAGTTGGAGATATGGGAAGCCAAATGTTATGGCTTGGTCTCTGCCACAAACGCGAGACAACTCTGGCTGTTAATTATTTCAGATTTATTGCTAAAACAACAAACTAGGACAGAGCTCCTCTACTCATCGTCCTCCCCAGAAGATGGAGTTGCCTGGACTGAGCTCCTCCCCCTTCCCCAGCTTCGAAAACCAAGGTGAGGCTTCTGATTGGCTGCAGGAGCTTCCTGCACTCAATCAGAAGCTGTGTCAGATGCTCGGCTTCCAAAAAACGTTTGCAAACCGGAACACTCACTTCCGGGTTTGCAGCATTTGGGAGCCGATTTGTTCGGGAGCCAAGCTGTTCAACTACCAAGGTACCAATGTATATACCGTATTTTTCGCTCTATAAGACGCACCTAGTTTTTGGAAGAGGAAAACAAGAAAAAAAAAATCTGAATCCCAGAAGCCAGGACAGCCAGTGGGATTGCTGCGCTGTGATCCCGTTGGCCGTCCTGGCTTCTTGCTTAGCCGCACGTAGCCTCTCCCGGGCAAGGGGAGCCTTCATCCCCTGCCCGGGAGAGGCTGTGCATGGCTAAGGCTCCCCCAAGAGCCGCGCTCCCTTTAAAGAGTGTGCGGAGTGTGTGTGTGGCTCTTGGGGGCTTTTCCTCGAGGAGGAAAAGCCCCCAAGAGCCGCACACACGCTCCACGTGGCTCTTTAAAGGGAGTACTGAGCAGAGCCTCCTGCCTGCATTTGCTCCATAAGATGCACACACATTTCCCCTTACTTTTTTGGAGGGGAAAGGTGCATCTTATAGAGCAAAAAATACAGTACATAAAACACCTGCAGTGCGGCATCAGAGCTCTATCTAATCCAACTTCTTACAACAGCCCAAAGGACACCCTTGAGGAGCTCAGAAGCAAGGTATAAAGGAAAAGAACTTTCCCCGCTGTTCCTTAGCAGCAGTAAATTGGATCGGGAAGCATAGGAAACTCATAGATCCCATGCACCCAGACAGGAAATGATGCTTGGTCAGTGCCACGCAGGATGTTGGGGAGAGCCAGCAGTGTAGTTTTCCCATGGCTCCCTTCTCAGGCCTGTTAAGGCCGATGCTTACAAGGCTTTTCCCTGTTTCTAGTGAGGCCTTGCTACCATTGACACCAATGCGGGAGGGAGGTTTTGAACCCAGACCTCATGTAAGAGAGAAGAGAAGGGAGAAGTGGGGTGGATTTCAGAGGCTCAGAGGAGTTTGCACTATGCACTGTACCAGGAATATTGAATTCTTATGGGGGTCACATTCCCGCGTTTGTCAGAGCCAGAGGCAAAATGGGGTGAAGCTATGAATATATATTTTTTTACTTATTTGCAGTACTTTCTAGGAATATTGTCGCAGCCCCCTCCACCCTCCACCCTCCATCTAGGGAAGCACGACCAGCGTTTGAGGACATATGCCAGGCATGCAAAAACATCTTTCAGAGCAGGGCAGGTGAGAGGTTGAGGTGGGTGGCTGAAAGGGAACTGCAGCCCCAGGGAGACTTCCGGAGACCAGACAAGAGATACATTTGGCCCCCAGGCCTCAGGTTCACCACCCAACCATCCCTGCTCTGTGTGCTCCCCGGCTGTGTGCTCAGGACGGGAGTCTTTGTGTTTGCAATAGATGCCAAGGCTGTCTCTGAGAAGGTGGTCCAGTGGTCAGGGCAGAGAGGAGAGGAAGCTCAGACCCTGTTGCCTGTGAGATGGCAGATGTTAACTCATTTTTTTGTCTTCTCTCCACTCCAAGCTTGTCTGGTTTTTCCATTCCCAAGGGGACAACAGTTATCACTAATCTCTATGGGGCCCATCATGATGAGAGCAAGTGGCACCACCCCCTGGAGTTCAGACCAGGTATTGCACTGTGTGTGTGTGTGTGTGTGTGTGTGTGTGAGAGAGAGAGAGAGAGAGAGAGAGAGAGAGATCTGTGTGTCATAATGAGAAAGCAAGGGCTCACCTGCACTTTCATCGGACACATATTTAGATTGAACTGCATACCGATTAATTGCTAGGAGTGAGCATTGGTATAAGGCAGCTTCCTATGTTCCCAATAAAATTAATTAAAGGTAAAGGTAAAGGGACCCCTGACCATTAGGTCCAGTCGTGGCCGACTGTGGGGTTGCGGCGCTCATCTCGCTTTATTGGCCGAGGGAGCCGGCGTACAGCTTCCGGGTCATGTGGCCAGCATGACTAAGCCGCTTCTGGCGAACCAGAGTAGCGCACGGAAACGCCGTTTACCTTCCTGCCAGAGCGGTACCTATTTATCTACTTCCACTTTGAGGTTGGCAGGAGCAGGGACTGAGCAACGGGGGCTCACCCCGTCGCGGGGATTCAAACTGCCAACCTTCTGATCGGCAAGTCCTAGGCTCTGTGGTTTAACCCACAGCGCCACCTGCGTCCCTTTAATTACTTTTGTTTTAAATAGAGATAATTCAGGAGAGCGTGAACCGGAATGAGTTGAGGGGAATTGAGCATAAATGAATGGGAAACAAATGGTATTTGGGCAGGGTGCAGATCAATGGAAGAAGTTATCTGGGGTGATCTGGGCGAAAACATGTTGCCTTGACATTTAAATCAGCATATGTAAATTCCATGCAAATAGTGCCCTGGATACCTGTGCCCTGAATCTTTTGCTTCCGTGGGTGGGCAATTCTCTTCCTAACACAAGCTTTCTCTTCTTGCCTAGAGAGGTTCCTGGAGGAGGACCCCTCGGGGGAGGCCCAGAGACAACTCATTCCATTCGGTTGTGGGGCACGGGTCTGCCTGGGGGAGACTCTGGGGCGCATGGAGGCTTTCCATGTCCTTGCACACACCCTGCGGGATTTCCAGATATTGCCCCCATCGCCTGGAGACCTCCCTGACCTCAGGGGGTTCTATCGGTTTATTGTGCATTGCAAGCCCTTCAGGGTGAGGCTGGTTCCCTGGGCAGCGGTGTCTGAACTTGCAAAATGAGGCCTCCGCTGGCAGTCGGGAGGACACTCAGTCCCTTCCGACTCTGCAATTCTACGATGCTGTTATCTTGGGACAGTCGCCGACTCTCAATTGAGTCGTTGTGAGGATAATATAGAAGGGGGGTATGGGAGAATTATTTTATGCCACTTTGAGCTCCTCGGGAGATATACTCTAGCTATTTGTAGATAGATGTAATAAACGTTAATCAATTTAACCTTAGTGTACATTAGACTGGCTTTTTATAAAAGATTTTCTTTTGCTACAAAAGAAATGGCAAAAAATAAATATTTTGTCTTCACAAAGAGTCTTTTTCACAGTTCAGTTACATATAGGGAGAGGCACTTGAGTCATGGGCATCTTGCGATTGGGGGAAAAGAGATCGTAGGGAGAGTGTTGTAGTTTAGTTCTGTTTCAGTGTGTTAGTGTAGGGCTTTGTGTCAGCATCACATGATAGATCCTGTGTATCACACAATAAATATTGCTGCAAACATTTCTGAGATCATGGTCTTTCTAACGAGGTTTGTTAATTGTCCTACTTTAAATGTTGTGAGGATCCTATGGCCTTTTAAAATGTGTTTTTTGGGGGTGGGGGTTTATTGGGTTGTTCTTTTAATTTTGATTATGTATCTTGTGGTTTTATATTTTGATTTTATTCTGTGAACCGCCCTGAGACCTCTGGGTATAGGGCGGTATATACTGTAAATTCAATAAATAATTATAATTATACACACACACACACACTATCCTGAACTTTTAGATCACCCAGGTCATTAGGTCTTATGTTTTAAAGCAGGGGAGAAGACACATTTAGCCCTCAATATATTGCTTGACCCCAACTGCCAACATCCCTGGCGACGGGACCAATGAGAGTTGTAGCCCAATGACATCTGGATGGCACCAGGTTGGCAAAAGCCTAGGAGACCAGGCTTCGAATCCCGACTCGGCCATGAAGCTCACTAGGTGACTCTGGTCCAGTCTACTGCCTCTCAGCCTAGCCTACCTCACAGGGTTGTTGCAAGGCTAAAACGGGGAGGTGGCAAACCACCTCGAGCTCCTTGGAGAAAAAGGGTGGAGTGTAAATTAAATAAGTAATGCTTCTCCCTATCACGGCCACCCACTCATTCACACCCACTTTCCCTCCGGCCCATAGAGGAAAGCAAGAAGGCTGTGAGGAAGGTCTGCCCTGTGTCCGACGCTGCTTGGCTCTGCCCCATCCTCCACTCCCTAAGATTCAAGAGACCCGTAATCAGTTCTCAAAATCAGTTCTCAAAAAGCTGAGCCAAGAACAGCCCTGCAGGATCAGGCCAATGGCCTACCTTGCCCAACAACCCAGCGATCAACCAGATGCATATGCAAAAATGCCTGCAAGCAGAAAATAAGCACATCAGCCCTATTCTCTCCCCACTTGCAATTCCTTGCAATTTGTATTCATAGGCATTCACTGAGCCAAACACCCCTTTCGCGAATAAACCACCAGCAAAAGAAAGACGCGATTCCTTCTCTATCCTTTTTTCCAAAATTTATTTTTTATTTTAAACGTTTTTCTCACAAGGATCTAAAAAATAACATCCCCCCCACCAAGCGCTTCATATAGAGAAACTTTACCCTGATGCACCCCCCCCAAAAAAGTACCACTGTACAGCCTGCCCCTCCCACCCCGTGCAAAGATCCTGCCCCATCTCAGGTCAGCGACAGCTTCTGCTTAGGAACAATGCGCTTGCGCTGCCCTCACAGGGGAGAAAAGCAAACCCTGCTTTCCCCAAAGTGCTGAGGACACGGGTCGCAATCCAGGAGCCTTGAGAGAAGCGCCAACTGCATGTGCGATTCTGTTTGCGCCGTCTTTTATTCAGGGCTCTCGCTGGAGCCACCCAGGACGGCAGTCTGAAGGTGCTGAGTGCACAAGGTGCGTGCCGGGCTTCTGACATTTGCGGAGAAATGATAGCAAGAAATCAAGATCCTGCCAGGGAGATTGGAAACACCTCGTTTCTTGCCACCCTAGTTCTCTCTCTCCCCCTCCACCTGCCTTTCATTTTTCCAGGCTTTAGTTCCCATCTTGGCCCAGTGCTAGAGCATCTGATTGGTTGTGCAAAAGGTCCCTGCCCCCTCCAATGGCCTCTCCAGGAAGAGTTGGGAGAGATCTTGCCTGAAACGCTGCCAGTAGATTCAGAGCTTGATGGACCAATGTTATGGCTCTGTATAAAACAGCTTCCTAGGTTCCTTAAAACTAAGATGGGCTCTCTCTAGCTTCTGCCTTCTGGAGCAGGAGAGGCTGAGTTGCGATCTGAGGCCAGCGTTCAAATGGCAGGAGCCTTTTGTGAAGAAGTCGCCTACCATTTTTAGAAGGCCACAGCGGAGGCACAATTTGGCTAAATGTGTGTATGTGTGCACCTGCATGTGAAATCAGGCAGCACGGCTTGCAGATTTCAAATTCCCCTCTACCTTTCCTTATGCAATCAAAGCGATGCTCTGGTTTGCTTAGAACTGTTGCGCATCTAACCTTTTAAACAAACACTATTTCCTCTTTTGCTCTTCTCAGCTTCAACATATTCATTGTTTAAAATAAGAAATCAATTTGAGAACTGTTCTCCATCTGTCACTTCCTTCAGCACCCATCAACAGATTCTTTCATCCAGGGCCCTCCAGAAGTTTTGTTGGACTACAACTCCCATCATGCTGGCTGGGGCTCATGGGAGTTGGAGTCCTACAACATCTGAAGGGCCGAGGGTCTCCAGCAGCCTTAAGTCAACCTATCAGGTCATTTTTCTGGTGCCATTCCACATTTGGAGTGCTGTTTACATTTTTTTTAAAAAGAAACCATTTTTTCCTGTATCCAGAGGAATAAGTTCAAGGAATGCACATGCACACTCCACTTTTGAATGAAGCCTGGTAGCGTTCAATGGCACAGAGGAATAGGCTGGAAGCAGAAATATAGAGCTCTCTCCTACTCTACCCAAAAAACTGTAGTCTGTTTGCCTTCAGGTAAGGCTGTTCCTTTTATTCCGTTTTGTGCAATTTACACTTCTCATCCTTTAGGGAAGGCATGGTCAACTTGGATTGAAAGCAATTACATTTCCCACTCCCCACCAATGGCCTGAATACATTTTTCCTCAAGGCGTGGTAAAAACTCCGGTCACAATTTCACCTGTATGGTAACAGAGCTTCAAGTTGCAAGACACAGAGATATTTCCCACTTCACAGCTGCAGCTCTGTCTCTTCTGTCTCTCTCTCTCTCACACACACAATTTGCTAGGTCAGGCTAAGCCAACAGCTGTGAAGCCCATGGCGATAACAACACTTATTATTTGTAAAGCGCTCTGCTAGATGACCGCAACACTGGCCTCCTTCTCACTGAGCTTTCAAACCTGTGTCTGGGCTGTACCAATTCAGACAGCAGGTAGGGGTTCCCACGGCAGACCATTTCAAATTTCTTCCCTCATGTAGAAAACCAACATGGCAGGAGCCTTCTCTCTCACATGATAGTATTCTACTTGCAGGGTTGAGATAGATAGGAGGATTCAGCCATTTGCACCCTCACCTGCAGCCTGAAGTGGTACATTCAGGTGGAAGTGGGCCAGTCTTCCCTTACAAAGACAGGCAGTAAAACTACCATTGCTTGCCAGCTTAAATCAATCAATTTGCATCTCCCCCAGTTTTCATCTTGGGGGTCTTTTCAGCCCACATCATTCAGCTCTCTTTTCGTTCTGTGATCTCTTAAACTGCCAGCTTATTCCAGTTCACCTGTTCTTCTCTTTCTGTCTCTTCTTTGCAACGGCAAGTTGTTTGGGGAGGGGGAACACGAGAAAGGCAAGAGCTTTTGCGTGGATGGGGGGCAGCTGGCTTCAGTTTATAAGATTCCCAGGAGGGGTAAGAGAAATGCCAAAAATAAAAAGTGCTTTTAATGTTAACCTGCTTTCAGCAACTTGTGTTTACGAGTTTACCTCCTTTCTGAAAAGGTTTTGGGGGAGAGGGAGGAGGAGAACTGGGGGGGGGGGCTGAAGAAGGGGAAGCCTGACTGGAGACAGATGTGTGGGAGCAGGAAGCCAGACAGAGGATAGGGCTAGGGGTCAGCAACTACAAGATCGTGGGCCAAAACCCATTCCTTAAGAGGAGAAAATGGTTTCTGTGGCAACAGTCCATGTTGGGGATTGGGACGCTGGCCAATCAGCCCTTGTTATCAGTGACTCTCCAGGAAAAATCTACTTGCTGACCAGGCAACAGCTATCCTGCAACATGCTCCAAAACTAAACCATTCCATCCCCTTAACTCTGCCCCTTCCACTATCATGTGCGACGCATCCCTCTCATCTTGTGGCCGGTCAGCAGGAGATGGGGGAGGAAACGAATACTACAAGGTGCTTTTGAAAAAATTGTCCATTTCCTTTGTTTTGCTCCTTCCTTTTTCTCAGGGGAATTTGTGGCAGGGTGCGAGGTATCTCCCATTGCAGAGGGGTGGTTGCTGCTGCTGTTTCTCTTTCCTCCTCCTCTGTTCTCCCCCTGAGTCAGTCCTGCAGCCTCCTTCCCTTTGCTCACACCCGACGCAGAGGCCGGAAGCCACGGGGTCTCAGTTTCATCTCTGTGAAAGGGATGGAAAACTCGAATCCTTTCCAGTTAAACCAGTTGATGCCCTTGGATGAGACAGAGAGAAAGAAAGGAAGGAAGAAGGTAAGTGAGAAGCAAGGAGATGCATAATCTAGGAATAGTATGTTCCCGGATTGGGGACAAGGACATAAACAGGGCCTGCTTAATCACGCCAGTGGCCCACCTAGTCCTGCCTCCTGTTCTCACAGTGGCCAACCAGAGGCCTGTGGGACACCAGCAAGCAGGATTCGAACACAAGAGCCCTCTCCTCTCCTGTGGTTTCCAGTGACTGGTACAGTCATACCTCAGGTTAAAGTTGCTTCAGGTTGAGCATTTTCGGGTTGCGCTCCGCGGCAACCCGGAGGTAACAGAATGTGTTACTTCCGGGTTTCACTGCTCATGCATGTGCAGACGCTCAAAATGATGTCATACACATGCGCAGAAGCGGCGAATCGTGACCCGCGCATGCGCAGATGTGCACGAGTTGCGTTCACTTCAGGATGTGAATGGAGCTCCGGGAAAGGGACACCGGCCTGTCACTCATAATTTGCAAGCACTTTGTGTTGGAAAGGTGCAGCTGCCCTTCACTCCCCCTCGCCCCATTGCAGTACCTGGTGGTCGCGGTTGTTCGCGTAGAGCCCGTTGAGGTTGGCGTAGTGGCAGTTGCGGTACCACCATGCGCCGCGGTAAGAGACAGCACAGGGGATGATGACTCGGTTGGGGTCACGGTCCTTGGTGGAGAAGACGCTGCCTGAGTGGTAGGTGAAAGAGTCGCCTGCGGAAGTGGGAAGAAGAAGAAGAAGAGTTTGGATTTGGTATCCCGCATTATCACTACCCTAAGAAGTCTCAAAGCGTCTAACAATCACCTTTCCCTTCCTCCCCCACAAGAAACACTCTGTGAGGTGAATGGGGCTGAGAGACCTCAGAGAAGTGCGACTGGCCCAAGGTCACCCAGCAGCTGCATGTGGAGGAGCGGAGACGCGAACCCGGTTCCCCAGATTACGAGTCCACTGATCTTAACCACTACACCACACTGGAAAGGAGGAGAGAGGGTTTGAAATGGAGCACAAATCTTCCTCCTTGAGCCTGCGCTCAGCCTTGAATCCTTAGATCCCCCTGCTCAAACCTGCCTTGAGGTTCCCCCACTCAAAAGAATAATATAATATGGGTATGTATTGCTATGTATTTGCGGGCGGCAGCTGCAACATCTAAGGAGAAGGAGAAGGCTTGTAAAAACAAACAAACACCTTTATCTATGCAGGAAGATTCAGGGCAGGTGAAAGAAAGCCCTTCTCCACACAGTGCATAGTTAAACTATGGAACTCACTCCTACATGAGGCAGTGATGGCTGGCTTTAAAAAGATGATTATACACATGTATGGAGGGAAAGGCTATCGATGGCTATTAGCCATCGAATCATAGAATCATAGAGTTGGAATAGACCACAAGGGCCATTGAGTCCAACCCCCTGCCAAGCAGGAAACACCATCAGAGCACTCCTGACATATGGTTGTCAAGCCTCTGCTTAAAGACCTCCAAAGAAGAAGACTCCACCACACTCCTTGGCAGCAAATTCCACTGTCGAACAGCTCTTACTGTCAGGAAGTTCTTCCTAATGTTTAGGTGGAATCTTCTTTCTTGTAGTTTGGATCCATTGCTCCGTGTCCGCTTCTCTGGAGCAGCAGAAAACAACCTTTCTCCCTCCTCTATGTGACATCCTTTTCTATATTTGAACATGGCTATCATATCACCCCTTAACCTCCTCTTCTCCAGGCTAAACATGCCCAGCTCCTAGCCGTTCCTCATAAGGCATCGTTTCCAGGCCTTTGACCATTTTGGTTGCCCTCCTCTGGACACGTCCCAGTTTGTCAGTGTCCTTCTTGAACTGTGGTGCCCAGAAC